GGGGAGCACATGGCCCTTATCCGCAGGCCATCCGCGGGCAGGGCTCCCTGCCATCCCTATCAGTGGGGCGGCTCCGGACCTGCGGCTGAGGGGAACTGTTCCTGCTGCACTGGGGCCGGGGCTGGGGGCATTGTCACTTCCCCACGCTGACCATTGCAGGGGGATGGTCGAAGGTCCGGGACTCCTCTCCAGCCCTGTGCTGTGACACAGATGGATTTGCAGGGGTCCGGCCAAGGCCATTGCACTGGGAGGTTGTGGATTGTGGTGGGACATTGAAGGCAGGTGGTGGCAGCAGCCTTATGACTGCCAGCAGGATCTGCACCCCCCGTCCACTTTCACCAAACTCTCATCAGCAACTTCCTTACCAGGGTGATGCTTGTGGGCACCAGGAGTGGGGGGTTCGACAGGGCCAGCACCTTGGGAAAGGCTTTTCTGTCCCTTTCACAATTCTGAATGACCTCTGTGTTTTATTATTTTCTTAAGGTGTGCCCACCTTCCTGTTTCCAGTGGCTTGGCAGGGTGCTGCTGGAAAGCTGGCAGGGTGGGGATGATGACTCTCTCCAAAACTCCAGGGGTGTGAGGGACCAGGGTCATCTGTGGCTGTGCAAAGCATGGGCATCCCTGTGAAGAGGTGCCTGTGGAGTGTGGTTTTCCCCAGAGGTGGGGCCGGACATCCCCCCATGCTCTGAGATCCCATTGCTCTTGGGGTGCTGGTCCTGCCTGGCAGAGTGAGGGATGTCCCTTGGGAGAGGGAGCATCCTGGCTGCTGTGTCCCACTGAGCAGGGTCTGTCCCTCTGTGTCATGTAACAGCAGTGAACATGGATCCCCAAAAGCTCAGAGTGCAGATCTTTATAGTCCATTTGTCTGGCTGTACCACAGCCTGAGCTGGTGTGAGGTTCTCACTCCTCAGCGTCCCTGTCATCCGCAGTGGCCCCAGACTCTGGATAGGAAAGGAGAGTATGAGGAGAAATGTGTTTTGGTCTCCTACTACCTCTTACCAGGGCTTTTAATGAGGATTTTTCTTCCCTAACATGTCCTGGGCATGGGGAAGCTGGTGATGGTCTGCTGGGAGCCTGCTATGCCTGCCAAGGTCAGCCCCTCTGGCCATAACCACAGGGAATTAGAAACGGGTGGAAAACTGTATAAAACCCCAAGCAAATATTTGCATTTCAAGGGATTTTCCAAGTACTGGAGAATGCTGACACAGCAGCAGTGTGGGCGATGGATGGCATGCCAAGAGGGTCTGCTTGGCTATTTTTTGGGGGCAGAATTTCAGTGGTAAAAGAGTTTTGTTTAAAATAAAAAAAGCTAATAAAGCAAATGGAGAGATTTTCCATCACAGCTGCTGGCTTCTCTGGCAGCTCCTCAGGGCAAAATAGCCACCCTGATTCTGAGGGAGCCATGACCCTTCAAACCACCCCTGCCCTGGGCTGGTAGGTGTGTGGCTTCTGTCTCAGTGCTCCTTTTTCCTCTCTCTGCTGAAGGGATTTTTGGCAGGAAAGGGGCTCCCTGTACCTGGGGCTGCTCTGCCCAGGGGGGCGTCCTGTGAGTCTGGGGCTGAGGTCGAGCTGGTGGGAGCCTGACCTATCTGTTGCCCCAGTTTTGCCTGCGCCCAGAGGTTGCTCACCTGCTGTTGGCTCCTGCCCACCCTGCCACCTTTTGGCCATGGTAGCGGCCGGAGTGGAGACGGGTGACTGGTTGTCTTGGTTTAAAAAGGCAAATGCCTGCCGAGGAAGGCGGTAACCTGACTGGAATGGAAAGAAGACCCCTCCCTCCAAATTATTATCCTTCGAAATTAAGAGGCTCTCAGGCAAAAAAGTAGAAAAAGGAATTACAGTTCTTTACTAAAAATATATGCAGAACAAAACAGAACAAACACCACCACTTTAACAGAAGCAGCTAGGTCCTGCTTCGCCTTGCGGTGCTGCTGTAACCACGGACAGCAGGGGACGCTTGGCACGGGGCGGGAGGAGAAGGGTCAGCCGAGAGCGCCGTGCCGAGTTCCAGGACTCACCGAACCACGGTGGCGGGGACGGTGTGGGAACCTTCCCGTGGGCAGCACAAGGACCCTCTCACCGTTTGCCGGAGTGGATGAGTGGGGACGGGGTGGTGTTGGAAGCTCCTCCTCGGGCAGTGCCGGCCCCCGCCGAGCCTGGAGCGAGCTCCGGCGGTGATAGCAGTCTGCAAATAAACCAGCATAGGATGTGTAAGGTCGGGACCCTCCTGGAGCCGCTGCGAGCCCCAGCAAGGGGGTAATCAGGCACTGGAATGGCCTGCCCAGGGAGGTGGTGGATTCTCCGTCCCTGGATGTTTTTAAGATGAGACTGGATGTGGCACTCAGTGCCATGGTCTAGTAACCATGGCGGTAGTGAATCAAGGGTTGGACTTGATGACCTCAGAGGTCCTTTCCAACCCAGCATTTCTATGATTCTATTCTATGGTTCTGTGATTCTATGACAGCTGAGCGCTAAAGCTGATGGGACCAGAGGTGCGTGGAACGGGCGAAGATGAACGCAGAGACTCTCTCCACACCACTTCCCGCTCCCGAGCCAGGGAAGAAGCGAGCAAAAATCCTCCCAAGTCCAAACCCACTGTACCTGCTCTTCCCACACTGCCCCAGTGCATAGGCAGAAGAAACCAAGGAATTCCAGCTCTGCAGGGAAAGTCGTCAGCCCTTCGATGGGAGAGCCATTAAGATCTGAGCTAGAAAGACAATTGAACTTGATGTTTCCCTAGCAGAAAGGCTTGATTGATTTTCGCTCAAAACTGTGTATTTGTGTGGAGAAAATTCATCAAAGGGTTTGAACCTATAACACTGGTGGACGAGGGTGCCCACAGACCCTGATGGCCTCAGGACCATACATCCCAAGCATAGATAGGGGCTGCAGTAAATAAGAAGTTGAGGTTACCCTGGCCTACCCCATCCTGCTGTGTTCCCTCTCTCCACACCCATCTCCACCAGCTCCCGGGGCAGGTCGAAGCAGGCGAGCTGGAGGCACGTCCTGTCCTGCTGGCACAGGGAGGGCTCAGCGCCACGAACTGCAGGGGTGAGAGCCCTCCCTGTCCCCAGCTCTGGCGTGGTGTCCACAGCAGGATGGTGTAATGGTGTGTGAATATGTCTTGGCCGCATGCAGGGTGGGATGGGGTGGTCTTGGGCAGGGTAATGGGGCTGGGGGTTTGGTGGAGGTGAGTCAGTGCTGCTTGTATCACCGGTGCATCCAGCACCAAGAGAGGATAGAGAAGGGAGTGTGTGCAATGATGGAAAACTTGCATGCGTGTGCATGCGTGGTGGGACCAGCTCATGCAGAACATCAATGTGTGGGGATGCCCCCCTGCTCTGGGCTTGGGGTCCAGTCATGTCCTGCATTCCCATCTCAGGTTGGCAGGATGCTCCATGCCCTACAGCCATACCTGGCACCTGGGGGTGTGCTGTGCTTGGGGACTGCAGGGGACCCAAGGGCTCAGTCAAGCTTTGGTACCGCCTCAGCGGTGAGGAGGGTTATGATGATGCTGGAGCAGAGTCAGGGACAGACCCAGGTGTGCTGGGCAAGGGGACCACCATGTGCCCCGATGCAGTGGGCACCCCTGGGTGGTGCTGGCCCTGGGGCTGCGTGCAGGCAGGTGAACAGGCTCCTGCACAGCCTGTGTGCACAGCACACTGTGCAGCACGTGTGTGTGCATGCTGGGACAGGCCTCTGCTTCCCTGGGGCCACGGATACGTGCAGATCATGCCTGTGGTTATGGACCGCAGGGGGATGAGCGCCGGGTAAATGAGGCAGGAGAGCAGGACTGCCATGACATAACAGTGACCGCCAGAGGCCGGCACAGCAGACATCACAGGAGTTGACATGTTTCTTCGGATGTGGGCAATGCTGGTGACACTGGTGTGGCACAGGGGTGCTGAGTGGGGGGCCTCCCATAGGGCCCCTGCACCACGTGGGGTCCAGGAGCATCTAGGGTTTTGGCCACCCCCTGCAAGGGGTTTGCTTGTGCAAGGTGGGGGTGAGTGTGTGAGTGAGTGCACAGGGCTGGGTGTGCAGCGTGTAGTGTGCCAGGTTAGTATGGGGGTACAGCATATAGGGCAGGACAGGGGGCATGTACAGGGATAGGGGGCTTGGTTAATGGGGCTGAGGAGAGGGGAGGGCCAGGTGTGTGCAGCACCTCTAACATGCACAGAGCCCCACAGCAACACCCTCCTTTCCCCATCCCATTCCCATAGCAACTGAGGCATCCCCCCACCTCACCACCCCATTCCTGTGAAAATGGCAGCATCTTGCTCCCACAGCGAGATTCAGGGCACCCATTTGGAGTCCTGGTGCCACTCTGGCTTCAGCAGGAGCCCACTGCCAGAGGGGCAAAGTGTGGAGGGTTCCAAAGGGACCCAGTACAAACCAATACTCATTTTCTTTGAGGTGCTGGGAGGACACCTGGAGCCGTGGGCACCCCTGGGACCCATGAGGATGCTGAGATCCCTCTAAGACAAGGATACATTGCTCCTAACACCTCAGCTCCCTGCTCAGTGTGCCACCTCTAGCCTGCTGTCCCCCTCCTCAGGCCATGGTGCTGTTGATGTCCCCAGGGGCTGGAGTGCTGAGCCGGGGCTGAGCAGTGGGCCAGCCCTGCCCCCTAGTGCCGTGGGAGCTGCACCCTGCAGGGTTCAGCCCCGAGGCTGCTGGAGCTGAGCCACCACAAACTCCTCACAAGGCCCACACAGCTGTGCAGGAGCATCACCTCCCACCCTGCCCCGCTGCTGAGTGGACAGAAGGACACATCCTGGACCCTGCATGGCACAACCAGCCCATCTCCGGCCTGCCCTTGGGAATACGCAGCAGTGTCACCCCAGCACAGGTGCCCTGGGACATGCAGGAGTGCCGGCACGGGTGACAGCCGCCTTCCCGGCACCCCGGGTCGATAACCGGGCGGCCGAGGCTCTCTGTGGGCCGGGACACCAATGGGTGGCTGCAGCAGCGGGAGAGGGAGGGGAGCACTGGAGGCTCTGGTTAAACTGGAACGAGGCGCGGCGCCCGCGGTCCCTGCCCTGGGGACTCTGACCCCGTGGGCCGGCGAGGGGAGCTGAGGCAGGCGGTGACGAGCAGCCCCACAGACACAGAGCCGGCAAGGGCAGAGCAGGATGGATCCCACCTTCGAGCTGGCAGATGACCCCAGGTGGGTGCTGGAGACCCTCACGCTGCTTTTCAGCCAGGCAAATCTAACTTTTTGCAGCAGAATTTCGGATTATTCCATCTGTCAAGGAGGGGAGCCAGTTGTGGGTGAGGCAAGTCACGCAGGGGACTGCGGGGACCCTGCAGGGCTGGGTGTCCCCGTGCCCTTGTGGCCCTCTGCAGCACTCCCTTCTGCTCCACAGGTTCTCCCACAGTTTGGTGGAGATGCTGATCAGGAACTACAGCGTGCCGGCAGCCTGCTTCTCCCTGCCACCCACCTCCCGGCAGCTGCTGCACCGTAGGTGGGGGGGCAGGGTTGGGGACACCCTCCTCTTGTTGCTGGTGGGAGCAACAAGGGATGAAGGTGGTAGGGTGGCTATGGCAGCTGCAAGCAAGGAGCAGCCCCAAAGAAGGAGGAGGCAGTGTGGTGCTACCAGGGTCTTAGCCTCCCACCCCACAGTCCTGCCTGCAGGGGTGGGGATGGCCCAGGAAGGGCCAGCACCAGGGCAGGTGACATGGGACAGGGAGCAGCGGGGCAGAAACGCCAGCTCTGGCACAGCCAGACATGTGTAGGATGTGGCACAGAGCTTCCCAAACCTGTGGGGTGGTGGGTCGGGGGGCAGCTCTCTGCAGTAGGGGCCCCAGGAGGGATAGGACATGATGAAGACGGCTTCTCCCCCCTCCCTGGCAGAGCTGGATGCAGCCCAACTTGCCATCATGGGCCTCTGCACCATCATGACGCTGCTGTCGGTTGCGATCTTTGTGGAACAGGCTTTCTACCTCACCCGCAAGATCCGCTGCCCCATCAAGATGAAAACCCTTCGCTGGAGCAGCTCAGCCCCTATGGTGAGCTGGGGTGTGGGGGTGGTGGGGAGCAGCACCCCAGGGGGCCAGGGCCACCCAAGGAGTGCCAGCCCACAGGAGGGGAGTGTCGGTGTGCCAAGCTCACGTTCCCCCAGGTTGTGTCTGTGGTCAGCTGCTTCGGACTGTGGTTCCCGCGCTCCATGATGGTGGTGGAGATGGCTACCACGGCGTGAGTATCACCCACCCCAGGGCAGGGGCGCTGTGGAGCCCATGGGGCTTGACTTGCCTTCCTCCTCCTCCTCCTCCCCAGGTACTTTGCCATCTGCTTCTGCCTCCTGATGCAGGTCATGGTGGAGGGCTTTGGGGGGGAGGAGGCAGTGCTCAGCACCCTAAAGGATGTGCCCATGGTGGTCAGCACTGGGCCCTGCTGCTGTTGCTGCCCTTGCCTGCCCAAAATCACCATGAGCAGGTGAGGGAGACATGGAACAAACCCCTACTCCTGGGGAGGGCTTTTAGCCCTTCCTTCTGCTGGGCTGGAGGAGAAGTCCCTGGGCAGAGTGCTATTGGTCTTTCTCTCTATTCCAGGAAAAAGCTTAAACTGATGATGCTGGGGACTTTCCAGTATGCCTTCTGCAGGGCAGTTGCTGTCTTCCTGGGGCTGGTCCTGCACACCGATGGGAATTACAACCCTGCTGACGTGAGTGCGAGGGCACAGGGATGGGCAGGGTGATGTCCTAGACAGGGAGCCTCTGCTTGCCCTTGCCTTTCCCAGCAGCTTTGTCAGCTCAGGACTATATTTTGTGTGCTGCCCCTACAGATTTCGGCGGAGAGTGTGGCCCTCTGGATCAACACCTTGGTTGGCGCCTCCACCCTCTTTGGCCTGTGGGCCCTGGGCATCCTTTTCCGGCAGGCCCGGCAGCACCTGGCTGAGCAGAACATCCAGGGCAAGTTTACCTGTTTCCAGGTGAGCCCCTGTCCTGCCCAGCCCCCTCCTGCAGCACAGATGGGATGAGGGGGCATGGAGGAAGATGGTGGGACAGGAGCTGCTGCTGGGAGAGAGCCCGGTCTGGCTGTGGGACAGTGGGAAAGGTGAAGGGTGGGATCCTGGCAGCGGCGCAGTCCCCACCACCTGTGGTGTTGGTGGTTGCAGCTCCTTCTCGTCCTGACGGCACTGCAGCCTGCCATCTTCAGCATCCTGGCCAACAGCGGCAGCATCGCCTGCTCGCCGCCCTTCTCCTCCAAGGCCAGATCGCAGCGTAAGTTGGGAGACGGGGGAACGGCCTGTGCTCCTGGCTGAGCCCCTCCATCACATGGCGTGGCATGGGGAGGGGGCGTAGTGGAAGGTGACAGCTTCAGATGACCCTTCTGCTTTTCCAGAGATGAACCTGCAGCTGTTGATCCCGCAGACCTTCATCCTGGCAGTGCTGACGCGGATGTACTACCGCAAGCAGGACAACAAGCCAGGCTACCAGCCCGTCAGCTTCGCACCCACAGGCACTGACGTCAAGGCGTGAACGGGAGGGAGAAACTGGGGTGCCAAGGGGTAGAGTGGGGTGAGAGGCTGGTGTGCTCTGTACAACCATCTCCTCCCCCAGCCCTGGGGAGCTGCTGGCAGCAGAGGAGGCAGAGGGGAAAGAGCATCTTGGGACCAAGTGAAAGGGTTTGAATCCTGAAAGCCATGTGCCAACGGGATCCGTGAAGCTGCCTCCAGCATGGGGGCTCTTGTCTAGCACTGAGTAAAGATGAATTTGTACTTGAGTCTTGTGCTGGTGGCTGGGTTCATATTATCTCTGTCCAGGTTGGGTGGGAGACGACTCCAACGAGGGTAAGGAGTATGAAATCCAGAGCAGCACAGCCATGGCGTGGGACCATCATGGGGTGCCCAACATCCAGCTGTGACAATGACCTGTGGGTGCTGCTGGCTGGGGTCCCAGAGCCAAGGCAAGGCCAGGTGATGGTGATTTCTCACAAGACCTCTGGACAGGTCTGGCCTGTCCCTGGGGCACATTCTCCATGGCAGTGGTTGCTCCTGAGAGCACAGAGGGAGCATCCACACCTGCCAGCCTGGAGCCAGGCAAAAGGAACCTTGATGAGCCTTTGTAACACAGGCAAGTAGTTAATGCTGCCTTAACCAGCCTTGCCCCAGTACCTGCCCTATACTTAGAGCAGAGGTGGGGACAGACATCAGGAGCAATTGCAACTTGCAGAAACCACTGGGTATTTTTGGACTTCCAAGTGTTCATTACAGACATCACAACAGGCACAACTTAGCCCGTGTTTTCAAATGAACAAATCACATGTTTAAAATCCTAAAAAGTTGCAGCACTCTCTGATGCTCTTGTTTCTACCAGCATCCTTGGCACCTTTCAACTCCCTTCTGCTGCTGCTGCTGTTCTTTGCCATCAGAAAGTCCCCTCCTGGGGCTTATACCAGCTCTACAGAGGAAGTGAGGTAGGGCTTTATCACAGGAGTGGACTCTGGATTTAGCAGCATCAAACTCCACACGTTCACTGCATGCTAGGAAAATTTTATTTTCCCACGGTACCTCTTACTTCATGCTTAAATCAAGCATGTCCCTTCTGGATACTTCTTTTGAAGAGTGAGGGATGGGCTAGGGGTGTGCAGGACAGCCCTGAAGCAGCAGCATTGGGTATATCTGTGGGGAACAAGATGATCCTGGAAAACTTAGTCAAATGTGTTACTGAAAGATCAATGTCCTCTTCCTGATAGGACATGACAGTGCAGGAGATGAGTGGTCCAGTGATCCAGGAGAAAAGAAAATAACAAAGGAAAAAAAAAGAAAAAAAGACTAGACTGGGATTTGAGTGTCCAATTTAATTTCAGTGCAAGGAGGAAGCAGGGATTATTGGTTACAAGAAACAGCTCTGTTATTCCAAGCTACATGTAAAACCATGGCTGGCTTCTTACCAAGCACCCCGGGTTTTGCAGAGAGATCAAAGAGGTTAAGGTCCCTGCAGAACAAGCCACCATCCAGAACACCACTGTTATCCAAATTTACAGAACACTGTTGCATAACTTGTGTTTTAAACAGTAGTAAGGCTCTAAAGCAGCCTGGCCTTTGTGATCCGGCTCAGGAAAGCAATGCAACACCCATACTGAGGGAAGGGTGAGGAAGGGAAGGTGGGGAAGATGAGGGAAGAGACAATGTGGATGACAAAAAGTAAGTGCTCTACCACTCATAAACCAGAGGATTAACAACTGGCTTCTACCAAGTGACCATCATTTTTGCTCCTTGCAGCTTCAAATTCATAGCAGCCAGCCATGCTCCCACAGCCACACACATCCCTGCTGAAAGAAGTCCAAGTGGAAGATTAGGGATCCCCAAAATATCCTTTCCCATACTGGCTGTGAACTCAACAGAAACACAGAGTCTCTGTCAAGCTCTTTGGGCAGCATGACAAAGGACCAGTAAGATAAAAGCTGGAAAGAAGCTGCAGCCTGTTCCTACCACAGGGCCACCATGTACCCTGGAAGCATCACATTGTGCAGAGCTTGTGGCAGTGCATGATGAGTTTCCTCCTTGCACCTGCTGCTTCCCAAGCCTCACATCCCGCTCTGCAGACCTCCCTGCAGCACTGCTGACCGGGCCCTGAACTGTCCTCTGCTCCCAGCACTGCAGGATACAGGCAACTCAGGCCCAGCAGCTCCACCCAGAGACCACAGAATCACAGGCAAACCCGACAGAAAAGTGTGTGGGAGCTCCACAGCTTCACAGCAAGGCCAGTCCCTCCAGCACTGGCTGGGGGACAGTGCACTGACCTGCTCTGCTCAGGCACAGGAGGGTAAGTGCCCTTGGGGAGCTGCGGACCACAAAGCTCACTGTAGATCACAGACATGACAGCAGGCACAACTGGACCACGGATTCAAATGAGCATTACACGTTTAAAGACTTAAAAAGCTGCAGCACTCTCTGATGCTCCTTCTAACCTGCCTCAAGGATCAGAGTGAGCCTGCACCAATTTGTGCATGTGCTGCACAAAACAGGTAACTGTCACATGAACTGGGACCCTTCATGGGGGTAAAACATGCCCTTCATCTGTCCAGCTGCACACACGGACAGCAAACTGGTTGCTTTGTCCTTAGAACAGCGACTTCACAGCACCAGTGTAAAGGACTGCTCCAGCCCTTAGAGCACAGCAACTGAAACACAAATACGCACAGAGCACAGTGCTGAGGGGCAGTCTGCACAGACACATATAACATACCACAGACTGGGACAAGGATCTTCTCAAAAGAGTACACACATTCATTTCCTACATGGGCTCTCACACCCCCAGGGAAATGCATAGACAGCAAGTGCACTGAAGCAAAGATTCATTCTCTTCTCTCCAACAGCAACTGAGGGCTCAATTTTAGCAGTCTTGTTGAGGTTAGCTGGACAGGCCTTTCCCCTTCAGCCTCCATATAACTTGGAGCTGTGAATGCTGCGTGCTTTATGGGGTGTGCCACTCTACAGTGCCATGAGTCCTTCCCGGGTGTAACTCCTGCGTGCCAAGGTACCCCTACCCAGCACACTCTCACTGCAACACGCTGGGAAGCTCAGCTTAGAGGCATGTGAGCACTACAGGGTCTGCTGGATAGACTCCTATCGCTCCAGCCCAGCAGGGAGGTCTCTATTTCCTAGAAGCCTTGTTACACCACTGCTTTGTGAGTGCTCTCGAGGTCATGCCGGTTGAGGAACTGAGGGGTCTTTCGTTTGGCAGCGGCATGGATACTGCCTGGGAGGGGGGGGGATAAGACAGAGGAGCTGAAGGAAAGAAGAGACAGATGGATCTTCCCACTCTCCCTCTCGCCTGGAGGTTTAACAAGGGAAAAGAAACCAAAATAAAAGCCACGCTCAAGTGCTATTCTTTGCGCTTTTAAAGAGTATTTTTTTTAAAATATAAAAGCCATCTTCACCCTGGAAACCATTAGAACGTAAACAATAAAAAGGGGATTTGGGGAGAAGAAGGGAGAGGAGGTTTGAATGTGCTTCCAGGCAGCAGCCCTTGCTAAGAGCAACGGGTGCCTCCAAGGCCCTGTGCTCACCGTCAGCCCTGTTCCTATGGCTCTCTTGCTCATTCAGAGTTCCCCGCTGGGTCTGGACTTAGGATTCTGTGATTAGCAGTTCACAGCAAATCCTGGCAGGTAGCTCAATCCTCTTCATCCTCGCTGATGTCATAGGTGACTGCAGACTCGTTCCTGGAGCGGTTGGCGGGTGAGGAAGGAGGAGTCTTGGTGGAAAAGGGCCAGCGGAAGGAGGGAGATGGGGAGCGGTCATGTGTGGGGCTACTGCTGGGACTCTGCTTCGGGCTGATGGCCTGCAGCATCCGGCCCTTGCCCTCCTTCAGCATGTGTTTCTAGTGATGGAAGCAGGAAGAGAGTTAGCACAGTTTAAACAGTCATGGAAATGAACACTATTTACAGCTTGTGCAGCAAGAGCTGTGTCCCTTCAATACTTCGTGCAATGTAAGAGCAGAAAAAGCCCCAGCATCACTCTGGGCTTTGGAAACTGCACTCAGAGTAATCACCACACATTTTCAAGCACTTCTAACATGCAGTGCCTGTGATATTTACCCAGCAGCACAGGAAAACCTGGCATAAACAAGCAGCTTCAGACTCATCCCAAGCCAGTGACAAAGTGACTGTCATCCTCCTGGCAGCTCAGTGGCCCTGCAGGGCACAAACTGGAGTTGACAGGCCAGCTTGTGGGACAGAGGAACTTTTCACCTACAATTGTAACTGTGTTATCTAGTTGGCAATGGTGAGGGCCCCCTGAAAACAGGCTGCCCAAGCCTGGGACAACTTGTCTGGAGACAGGTAACACACTGAGCACCACAATTAAACCCTAAACCTTTGCTCTGCAGAGGCTCTACAATGATCACTGATCTCTCTGAGATCCCCTTTTCCCAGAACACCTCCTTACCAATGCGCCTTCTGGACCAAACATCTCCAAGAAATTGCCGATGAACTCTCGGGACTTCTCTTCCCACTTCTGGATGAGATCAATGCTCTTCTCCTCCACTTTCTGGACAAATTCCTTTGACTTCTCCTCTACATCCTTCACCCTCTTTTTCACCTTATCCACGCGTTCCTGGAGGTGGTATTTCTTCTCCTGCACAGTAAGCGGTGGATCAGAACACAGCTCACCAGATCTGAGTGGTGACCACTTCTGCTCTGTGTTACTGCACTGAACTGCTGCTTAAGACTCAGCATCTCCATTAGTCTGGTGACACTTCTCCTTCATTTCCATGACACTTCTTCCCTAGACTACATGGCAGACACAGTGGGGCTGTGAGACACTTTGTGGTAGGCACTGGCACAGCACACACAGCAAGACTATAGCCAGAGATAAGCACTATCTAATAGGAGTGCATGGAAGAAGGAAATATTTATACAGCATAGAGATTAGATTTGAGTGACCTGCTGTAGGTCTCTCTGCATATCACAACAGCACCAGTCTTTTTGCTGGGTGTTTTTAAACACAGGCAGACTATTACATGCCAAAGAGAGGCCAAGCAGCCGTTACCTCTCCTCTTTCATTGTTGTTCATAGGCATGGTATCTGAGTGATAAAAAAATGTTTACTACTTTACTTCCAACATCAGAAGTGCCTTCTGCCATGTTATTTTGTCTGTGGGCTAGAGCTGCTCAGCAGAGGATCGGGGCGTGTCCTTCTGTCCTGCTCAAGCACTTACTACTACTCCTGCAGCTCCAGAAGAGAACAGCACAGTGGGAACAGGATCAGGTTTTATCCTAACAAATGACTCTACCTTAAAAAGGTGGCTGAGCAAATAGGAGAGAGATGAGACAGAAGCTGCTGCCAAAAACAACCCACTTTTCATTCAATTCAAGAAAGTACACATTTCGCCACACACCCTCTCTCCAGCTCTTTCAACAGGTAAAATGTCACTAGGATATCTCTGACAATGGAGCAGTATTAGCAAATCTCCAGTTCCTCTGGGTGGGTCCCTGAGGTGATTTCAGGGGCACAAGTTTAATTTCTACTCCAAGGACACTGTTTTGGTGCAAATGCTTAGCTCTGCAGACAGGCCTTTTACTGGCTTGTGGCAGGACTGTGCTATCACTAGACAAGACTCAGAATCTTCATACTCTGCGGCATGTGGTGAGACCCCCTTCAACTCACGTTTATGAAGCTGACATTGAGCTCTTTAGCTGTGTAGCCCCGCTGCAGGTTCCGTCTGACATAAACGTCATAGTCCCGCACGATCCGTGTGATGATGTCTGACGTTGAGATCCCCTCGGTCCTCTGAGTGGGTGCAAACATGCCTAAAGTTGGGGAACAGGACACAGGACAGCTGTAGCAAGACACATGGCAAAAAGCTGCTACCACCTCTATTAGGAAACAATCTCTCCTGTCAAGAGCTCCTTTCCTGACTGTCCTCCCATCATCACCTCTTTGTCCTCGAATGTACAGTATGAGAGTCCTCCTTTCTGGGACTATAAGGAAGACCTAAGTAAGACCAAAGCTTGTCAAAACCCTCTCAAAATACCAGGTATTCTAATGAAAAGTTCTTCACTTTAGCTGGTATAAAGACTATTGATCATAACCCACTGCATCTAGAACAGTGTGGGCACAAGGACAGGACAAGGGGCCCTACAATTCATATAACACGCTGTGAGGGCTAAGTTTGGATAGATATAGGAGAGCTGCACCCTCGGTGAATTTTACAGCAAACAGTTAGAGGAGCCCCTTTGCTAAGCTCATGAAATTCCCCATTTGTGAGAATCTGTAAGTTAAACTGTACTATGTTTTCAAAAGGTCGCAGTTAATTCAATCACAACTATATTGGAATTAGGAATTAATGCTGGGCCATGGTTGGCCTGGGACATGGAACAGTCCTAGTGATATGAAATAGGGCCTAAAGCTGCTTCTTCCTGCCCTCAGTGCCTCCTGGGTAGACCTTGTTCCCAGAGGGACACTGCCATTTCCCCAGGCATAAACAGTCCTCCCATACACAGGCGCAGGAGAAACCACAGCAGATCTTTGACAGGAAGCCCTGGGGAATCTGACTCAGACCCACCTGCCTCTTTTATATGCTTATAGACATCATCACTGCCAGCAGAGGAATAGGGGATGTCATCATGTGCAACAAAGTCGATCTGAAAATTAAGAAAGTGAGTCAACATTTTATCTTGAATGTGCAGGTCTCCTGCTTCTGTCAAAGGCTGGTAATTTTCGGCTCAACACCTCCACGCAGGGGTGCGACAGAGAACAGCAAGACACTTTCCTCTGTTACAAAGTACCTCTGAGCAGTCCCGAGTTCTCACTGGCAATTGCCTATCGATTGTAAGCACACACCAGAGGCAAGGAAAGGCTGGGAATAAGGACACAGCTGTTTTAAGCCCCACAGAGGAATGGTTTGTTAACGGCAACAAGTCTCCCCTGGAGACTCCTTCACCTCTCAGAGCAGTTCAACAGATGTTAGAAATTCCTTCCACTTTATCTCACCAACTGATAAAGACTCTCAAGGAAGCTTGCCTAGTCTCCTACTGCAGGGAAGCTCATGAAAATCTAAGCTGCTCCTGCTGTAAACAGGGAGTTGGACCAGACGCCCCCTAGAAATCCCTTCTAACCCATGTTATCCTCTCCCTACTGCATTTCACAGCTATCTCTACCCAGCACCAACTTCTGGAACAGCAAGAACCCTCTCAGGCTTCTTACCATGTCACAATCTCTACCTTATTTTAACATTACCTGCCAGCTCAGCAAATGCTTCTAGTCTCCCAAGAAACCCACTGGAATCCCATAACCCAGTTCATTCTATATTCAAGCAGTTTCAGCAGAAAGAGCTTGCTCAGGCAGAGGTCACCCCCAAGGATGAATTCTTGCTGTGAGCAGACAAGAGGGTAATCAAAATTCCAAACAGATCAGATATCACAAATTACCCTGTGCTCTGCCAGGAATTCGGGTGTGAGCGTCCACGGCGCGTTTCTCACCACTTCGTCCACATAGCGACAGTGCTGCACAGCATCGTAGCGCTCGTTCTCATTCATTACCGTGAAGCCCTTGAAGTTGTGGGTCAGCTCATCACTGCAGACTGGAGAAAACAGACAGGCAGCAGTGAGCCTGAGGTACTTACCCCAGGTCTTTACAGTCAAAGGACCTTCCACACGCCCCTGCTGGCAGAGGCTGGCACTGGCACTTCCAAACCCAGCTCTTCCAGCCACAAAGCACCAGAAATAGAGAGCAGTACAGGGCACTTCCTGAGAAATTCTGGACAGGCTGTTTGGGGAACTTCTGTCCAAGCTGGGGACCTACACCCCAAGCCTTCAGGGTCTCTAGAGCTTACAACACTTACCAAGAAAACCAGCCAACACAGAAGACAACTCTCCTATTTGAAACAGCACCTGGGGGCCTACGGGGCTTTTAAGCCTAAGGATGCCTCAGGCTTGAAATCTGAAGAACAAAAAACCCCACTGCCTAAACTTTCAATTTCATAAAATGCCATAACACAGTCGAATTCTTGGAAAGTTGTATTCAAACACAAGGGTGAATTCACAGGAAATCAAGTTAGCTTAATTATTATGTTCTATGAGAAAGTAAATTAACAGCTCTTCATAATCTGCAACACAAGGTATCAAGGAGGGAGTTTTATTTGATTATCAGACTCAAAAGTAACAGACTCAAAACCAGTCTCACTGGTATTGGATGTATTTATGTTCTAGACAAACAGATGATAAAGAGCGGGTGAGACTGTTCCCAGCTTGGAGCTCATGTTCTCTTGGGCTGTGGCCTCTCATCTCAGTCACGGTGCAAGGGAAGCAGGTCATTGCCCTCCACCTCCTCACCAGTCTCCGAGAGGCAGAGAGCGTGGTTATGCTCCTTGATACTTTAACATGTTAATAGTTTGACCTGAAGTTATTTTCCTGCTTGTTTTACAATGTTTATGTACATGGGGACGTCATTCCACTTTCAAGATTTCTAAGCTCTGGGCATTTTTGTAGTTGGAACAACTGTTTCAGCTCTCCTCTCTCCCTTCCCCTTCCAAACACTGTTGTAGAACACACAAAACAATGCAGATGTACCACTACAAAAATGCCCTCAGCAGTGATGAAACTGATAAGGAAACAAACCACCCAAGGATGTTACGTTCTATTGCATGATCAGAGTCTGATTTTGCTTCAGGAAGCTAGTGGAGTTGAGAAAAATAGTTAAAGGTATTCTCAGCTCTCTTACTGTAGCATCATTACACAGCCTGACCAAGGGTCAGCTCTTGACAGACAACATGTACAGCCTGAGGGGCACAGAGGCAGTCTCTGGACAGAGGCCTGTGTATTGCAGCAGCCAGAAGAAGGGTATCCATTTTCCCCTTACATTCTTGAAGGAGGCCTGGCTAAAACACCTCTGTTAGATCCCCTCAGGCACTCGGCAGGATATTTCTGGCATCATCGAAAGACTTATGACCTAACAGCCAAAACAGTGAACTTCTATTTGGAGAAATGGGGCCTCGCTGACTTCCATGTGTTCAGGCACATGCCCGAGAAAGCACTCTGATTTCCATGCTCCTAAGGGGATCTGTTTGGCATTAAGCAATTCCCATAAGCAATTCCCAGCAGAGAGCTGGAGCTGGGGAGTGACATGCAGAGCAATACAAATGACACAAAGCTCAAGCAGCCACAGAGGGACTATTAATCATTCTTTAGCTGTCTTACTCAAGAGTCAAATGCTCAATTATCCTTAAGACGTTTTGATACTCAGATGTGCAACTCACCTGTATCTGTCACAAAACAGAAGGGTCAAATTAGAATAGCGTGATCAAAAATCTTTTCCTGAAGCACTCACCTGGTACGGAGAATCTTTCTCCAGACAAATCCAACCCTCAACATATTGCAATAAGACTCCAGCAACATTTGGGACAATCAGCTGCAGTGAGAGCCACTGAGGCCACAAAGACAAAAGCCCTGTATGCACAACTACAGACGCAGGTAAACTGTACTCCTGCAACAGCCAAAGTCAACAAGGTCACTCCTTACCTCCAACAATGAGGTATGTGTTTGGGAAGAGGTTCTTCGCTTGCATCAAGGCCCGGGCATGTCCAGAGTGAAACAAGTCAAATATTCCATCAGCATAAACTCTGACAGGGCGATCCACTGTGCCAAAAAGGACAGAGAGACAGCTGTGAAGATGCCTTCCTGGAGAAGCAGCTGCTGCTCATGCCTGCATTTGAGGACCTGCTTAAACTCATGGGGGGGTTACGGAACACAAAGCCATAGCCAGGACAGATTTGTGAAGAGAAACGGTTGTCTCTGTCTTCCCACATGGAAACAAATGCATCTGAGCTGAAACACAATCCCATTCAAAGACAGACTGAAAGCCTACCATATATCACCCTAACAAGATAAAGGGAGACCTAAGGAAAACCCTGTACATTTCCCTTCTATGGAAATCCAAATGCAGAATTAACTTTTTTCACAGCAGTGAACTACCAGAGGGGAACTGACCCAGATGTTTCATAGGTGCCTGACTTCCTCCTGCCTGCCAGGATGGCATCTCAAGACCTTTACAGAATCCCCCTCTGCAGCCTGCTGCAACATCTACAGTCTGGTTGAAGGACCAGACTGTTCCAATTCCCCACCAGCATCTTGGCTCCCCTAGACCAAATGGCTCTATCCAAAACCCCAGCTGGACTACTCAAAGGAAAGCATACACAATTCTGCTGAACTTCTGGCATTAGCAGCTAAATCCATGGAAAAATAAGGAAGAACAAATCTTTCCTCAGGCTACCTCTGCCAGGGGAAATTGTAGCTCAGCTCTTTGAGGTCAGCACAGAGGTAAATTGAGATAGTCTAGCCCTGCCATGTAATAGTCCCATCCTGAACCCCGATTTCTGGTCTTGGGACTACACAGTATTCCAGTCCTCTTGCAGAAAGCCACACAGTCTTTGTATCTGACACACTTGGGAACAACCTGCTGCTCTCTAGCCTAGTTCAGGCAGACAGACTCAGAGAAGTGGTGTGAGCAGAGGCACACCAGAGCTGCAGTGAGGACACAGCAGAGAGAATACCTAGCAGGATTGCTGAGACCCCATCTGGGCAGAGTCCTGAAGGTACCCAGAGACAGAGCCTGGGAGGCAGCAGGAAGAGGACTTGATGCAAAGGTCAGGGTTGTCAAGTTCAAGCTATGCAGAGGAGTCACTTTTTAGTGATTCTACGACCTCAGGCTGAAGATGCCAGGAAGCTCTGAAGAGCCAAGGATCTGGAGATATGTGACTGCAAAAGCTTTCTGTATGCCAAAAGAGGGCTAGTCCTGGCAGGCCTTTATGAATGTACAATCACATTCTGGAAATTGGCTGGGACATCCTTCCCTTTCCTCTGTACCTGCAGCAGCTACAGTTCCTGAGCACAGACATAAACAGCAACAAGGAAGCATGTAGTGTATTTTAGTCCTAGCAGGCAGAAAACCTACCACTGCTGAAATCAAGAGACTTTTGTGCAGGCTCTGGAGACTTTCAGCTGGGAAATTAATGTGGACTGTGAAATAGTCAGAACCTATGGCAGGAAATCACTGCCAGGTGTCAATCTGAGCTGGCTCATCTGTCAGCAGCAGTCAGGTAGAGAGAACTGCAGCATTTTTATTGTCTCTGTAGCTATAACAGAGGCCAAATAAGACAGCACCATCTGCACACTCTGTTTGGCAGGAGAGGGCAGTTATCTTTCAGGAGTCAGTCCTGCCTGTGCCTCTGCTCTGGACTGCAAAGAGAACAGTGTTTCTTCCACATTGTTGTTGCGAGGCTGGCCAACTGTGTTTAATGACACTGACTTTAATTCAAATCCAGGCTAGAATGAGACATTCAGATACATATTTTTTTTTCACTTGCCCATTTCAACTTTCAGAAAAGATGCCTTTTAGAGCGCTTAACTTCAAGCTACTGCAAAGTAGTACTGCAAAGTAGTACAACAAATGTTCAGCTCTGATATTACTCTATAGTTGTCAGCAGCACAGGAAGAGTTAAATACCTGTTTGCTTCAAATACTCTTACTGGTGAAGGTACAGCTCCTCACACATACAAGCTTGAATTTCAGTTGTACTGACAGGCCCAATTTCACATGGGAACAGTTATCTAATCACCAAAGTGTTAATTAAGTCATTGGCTGCAAACCTAGTCCAACACACAAGGTTGTTTCGGTCTCAGAGATACCACAATCACACCCACCCTCCAAAACCCCAACATTTACACAATCTCCTTCCAGTCAGTTTTTTTTTTACTTACAAGGGGTCCCTCTCATCGCTTCTTCATAGGTTACTCTGATGTATGGCTTGCTGTAGTCGATTTCCACTTCATCTGAAAACGGAGCCGGTTCCCTCAGTCCCTAAAAAGCCAGGAAAGTTTTGCTGTGAGAATGCAAAGGTGAGGGCAGTTCAAAGCAGCAGCACTGCCACGGCAGTGTCCTAGTCACTGACTCACTGCATCTCTGCACAGTTCAGACACGTGTACTAAAAGGCTAGTTAGTGTAAAACCTCAAAACAGCCCTGCAGGGTGATTAGCCTGAGTTTAGAGAGTAAGAGAGAAAGCAACGTAGAGTTTAGATGACAGCAGTTATACTGGACCCAAGAAAACCGGAGGCTCAGATCTGCAGCTGCTAAACCCAAACTTTGGACACACAGCACTTCACAGCAGCACAAGCCAAGCTTCAAACCTCACTGTCGCAGCTCCAGCTCTGCCCACTCTGGCAAGACCATCGCTCTGCTGTGCCTGAGTGCTTGTGCCATGACATACAAATTGTAACAGCTCCTTGATTTGAGTATATGAGCAAGCAGAAGAGCAATGCCAACAGCAGCACTAATGTGTGTATTGTCATATTGTATTACATTCACCATTTCTGAGCCATACAGAGTGAGGGACTGACCTCAATCTGTGGCAGAATACTCCAGCTGCTTCAAGAAAACTCCTCTAACTTGCTAGCTTGACCACAGCAGTACATTTAATCAACAGCTGAAGTCCAGACATCATTTCTGGTGGGCTCTGAATGGAAACAAAAGATCTGCCCTTCCCATAACAAAACAACAGCTCAATTTCCTTTTAGCTGGAAGGTATGGGGCAGCAATGGACAGTCAGAACACTAGTAAATAAGCTTACAGATCATTAACACCTACAAGCTGCAAAAGTCTTATCAGCAGTTTCCTCTCTGGCTTCCTGTCCCCCTGCAGAATCCTGCCACGGTGCCCAGCACCACTGCAACCCAAAAAACCACTGCTATTATTGCTACTGTCATTCCTCATTAGAGTGCTTCTAGAGAAGAGCACAGGAAATCAACCACTGACCACTACATTCAAGCAAACTGATACTGCTGAGCATCTCCTTTAACTTACTGAGGCTCTGTGTTTCACACACCACCTCCTCTGCCAGGATCCTTACTGTCAGGTAAGGCCTGCAGGCCTCTCCTTTCTTCACTGCCATTGTATCTGGGACTTGTGAATATAAACAGATTCTTTGTAGTTTGGTTGGCACACACCTGATATGAAGCTAGAAATAAAAGCATAAAAAAGCCCAACAAAATTATCAGAGGAACACAGAGAAATGTTCTCAAAAGGTCCTGCCAGCGTCTTGCCCTTCCTCTGCAGGGCCTCGGAGGGTCAGAACCTAACGTGGTTTGCACAGTCCAACAGGCTTATGTGTCAGCAGGTTTGTTACCACCATCTGCTGCTGAGCCCTGCTGCTTCAGGGGAACATTCTGCCAGCCAGCTGCTCAGTTGGGAGTGGTAAAGCCTTCAAGGTAATCTCACAGTTAGGCAACACTATTACTCTTGCTATAATAAATAAAACTTTTGCAAATGGAAGAAAAAAAAAAAGGAAATCTTTCATCAGGAGATCTGTGTTTGCCCTCTGGCTAAAAAACAGGCAGGAAGCTTAAAAAGTGGCTAGATATCACTTGTCTTGTGCTATTTGTAGACAAATGCTTTATTTCTGATACAGGACAGACACCAACTTAAAGAGCAAGTGACTCCCATGGAAGAATAACCTGCACATTTAACTTTCCTTACTGAAAAGACATGGGGGTCTTTAAGAGGGGCGGGGCAGGTCTGACAACAGTCAAGGATATAAAGGCTCTGTGGGATAAGTCACATAACAGCTCAAGCCTCCACTCCCAACGCTTGCCTCCCCAGTTCTCACTGCTGGCACTGCTCTTACTTCAGTACCACCAGCGCTATGGGAGAGGGCTGAAGGTCCCGAGGAGCAAAATGTTGCCATTGAAGAAGAAAGCTGCAACACATCGCCCTATTTTGCCAAGGACTATGACCGCAGTGCAACGTGGCAGGGATGGCAGCTGGCTTTGGACAGAGATAAGGAAAGAACAACCAGAGAACACGTGATGCACGGGGCAGCTCCAGGAAGAGGGCAGAGGAGAACTGCAAAAAGCCCATTGTCGCACTACTGTGGCAAGGACAAGTTAAAGTTAGCCCTTGACATTGGCATTAACTGGCCCGGACCCCCTTCAGAAGAGATCCCATTAGCTTTAGCTTGCTAAAGCTGCCCCAAGGTTGATCTAGGGGAAATCCTTTCACTTGTTTCTTCTTTTATTTTTATTGCTCCTGAAGTACCAGGAGCATAAATGCAGTCTTTCTCCAGACCAACAGAATCAAACAGTGATCTTCCCAGTGCTTTAGAGCATGAATTCAACAGATTACTTCTGTGGGTGCTTACAGACTTCAGACTCTCCTGCACTTCCATGTGCTTGTCTGCAGTATTTCTCCCTCCCACTGGGTCACTCAAAACACACCTCTCAGAAGCAACCTGCTTCTCCTCCATGGGTATCTATATGCATGCCTGTTCCACTGCAGCTTAAGTGACAAGCCGGACACACCACAAAAGCAGCTTAGCGATTGCCTCAGACCTAATTTAAGCCCACGTTGTAAGTATGTTATTAGCATGAACAAAGGAAGATTTCAAACTGGATTTGCAAGAAGGATAGCTACTGTCATGTGCTTCTTCTCCTCTGCCCCCCCTTGTTTTCTGTGTCCACAGACAAACCACCACAGCTCAATGTTCTCATCTCACATGCTCCTAAAATTCATATCTCTGCTTACTTACGAGTGAGCGTCGGGACATTTTTGGAGGGATTCCATCCAGCTCTGTTGCCCCATTAGGGCCAGATCCATCTTTTCTTCTCTTTCGGGAATTCAGCCTGGAGGAGGTCGGCGGCTCCATCTTGCCAAGCACGTCCAGTAAGAACTGGAACAAAATGAAGGAGGAGCAAAAAAACTAAACAAAAAAAACCCAAGAAAAAAAAAAAAAGAAAAAAAAAAAAGAAAGAAAGAAAAGAGAGATATTTGTCAGTTCTTCCAAAGCAGGATCAGTCAACAGCAGGCAGAGTGTACAGAAGGTCAGTGCAAAGACACAGCCACCTCACAAGGGGCTTAGCCAGTTGTATTTGGCATCAGCTGCCAAGGCTTGACAAACAGTGCCTGGTGGGAATACTGAATCATTTAATGCAACTCAGAGCTGTTCTGCAGAGAGAAGCGTGCAGCAGTCAGCTGGCTGGAGAGAAACTGAAACAAGAGTTGCAATACAAATTATAAATCATTACTACAAGGCTAATTATATTACTCTCACATCTGAAAAGCAACCTAAGGATTATGGCACGCCCAGTTCACATTCAGCCCTCCCTCAGCTGTCATTTGGACTCTTTACCCTTTACAGCACCCAAGGCAGCTGGCTGGGTGTGCTGCATCCCTGTAGAAACCTCAAGAGAGGAAGGAGGGATAAGGGTGGGGGAAGCAGAAGGCTGAGGGAAGGGGTCAGAACTTAAATAACTAGCTGGCTTGCTGTTTGCTTTGTTGTTTGTGTAAGACCAAGCTGCAGCTCCCCACTGGGGACAGCTCACCTTGGGCTGGCTGCCACCATGCTCCCCTGTTGTCCCCCTGTCCCCACCGCAGTGGTGACTCAGCAGATGGTGAAGCAGCTGCTGACACCACATTAGGGCACACTGACTTCTGGCACTTTATGTACCAGGTTGTCATTAGTGGTGGTACAGCTGAACTGCTTCTGGGATGGACAGACCGACCACCAATTGGGGACAGAAATTGTGACAGCTATGTGGAAGTAAATTATCTGTGCTTTTGAGCGGGAGTCACCATACCATTCCAAAGGGGCTCTGGAATATTAGAAAGCCCAGCTTCACACAGCTGAAGCAAAACTATGGGTTTATGGGAAGGCATGGCAGCAAATACTCCCTTTTCAGCTGCTGCAGGATTTAGAAATGGGTGGTAGATTTGCAAAAACTAAAGATCAGCATTATGTCTCTTGCTCACTTGAAGTGTGCACCTCTCCAGGGCAGCAAATGGCACTTCTGGACTGCTGTTCCTGAGAGCAGCGTGACCCCTCCACCGAGGAATGATCCTTATGTGCGTGCCTCAACCCCTAATAATAAGAGCAGTGTGGAATTTAAAGTGTCTCCCCACCCATGTGCTATGGGTGTGCTGGAATGTGCTAGGTGGGGCAAGTGTAAGGTATGAGAAAGGGCAGATGCCCCTCTGAATCCACCCTTTTCCTCAGCAGAGGGGCTCTGCTGAATGTTCATGCTTGGGATGAGCTGGGACTGTCCTCACTATGGGCCACTGGCAAAGAAAGGTGTGCTTTGTGGAAGAGCTGTTAAGAAGCAGATTTAGTGACTGGACTTACTTACTCAAGCACAAATGACTTCAGGTTAAGGAATGTTCCAAAGTAAGGAGTCCAACGCGGTTAAACAACACACGAACATCCCACTCTCCCCACTGAGCATCAGCAAGACAACACCTTAGAGACAGGGTTAGAGCCAAACACAGCTGATCTGGGCTGGGGCTACAGGCATCTGAGCATCCTTGGCTGCCCTGTTAGACCTGCTACAATACACTAAGAACAGGAAAAGGGAATCTTAGGTGTGTGGGGAGCCAAAAAATACTGTGAAGAAGATAAAAGTGACAGTGAAGAGCAGCCACAAGGACACTTCAGAACTGCAAAACCCATCCAGCACTCACTCTATAATGCCTGTGAGTCAGGCTTGACAAATTTCCCCCATTCCAGTAATTAATTTACCATTTCCTAACAACGAACATATGTGAGGATGCAAAAGTAATCTCAGGCAAAAAGAGTTTGCAACCCTGGCTTCAAGTCTTCAAACATTAAACTAGACATTTAACTTCCAGGCAAGATCGGTGCTATAAATGCAGCAGATTCCAAAGTGCCTCTGTGAAAACACAGGGTATAACACAAGTAATTTTTAGATTTTGCAAGGTGTCTCCTTGCAAGCACACTGTATCAGTCATTTACTTCACCACCATGGTCCCAGCAGAAACCATTCAGTTCACAAAAAGCAGAGAACATCTGTCCCTGGCTCAAGTAACCCCAGCGTTCATGGAAACAGAGGGGTGGAACAGCAGCAGCTTTTCTTGTTATTTGGTCAAAATAATTTCACTGTGCTTCAAGTCCCCTGTTTGTCCCTGACCACTCCCTTTCCTTCCCTTTGGAGAGAATTAAACAGCTTGTTCACATGCTGAATGCAGACATTCTGAACCACTGCCCAGCAAAACATTAAGAGCACTGGCAGAGGTTTTGGTGCTGAAGTTATGGACAGAGCAGCCCCTACACACAACCAGGTGAAACTCTTCCCACGCCAGCCCAGCCCACCAGAGCAACCAACTTTTCTGCTGAATTATCACCATCACCTACCTTCCTGCTCAGTGCAGAGCTCACGGTCAGACAAAGACAGCACAGGGTAACACCGCGCTTTAGGCTGACGTACAGCAGCACTGTCCCAGCCCAGGACAAAACTCCAACAGCTTCTTCCAGTCCTTCCCACACCCAAACACCCACTCTCCTCCACGCTAACTTTTCTACCTCTCAGGGTATTCGTAGTGAAATGATGGCAAACAATAACATAAGCAAATGGATTTCCAACTTCAGATATTCTATTAATGGCTTTGCATTAAATAAGCAGCAGTGGTGAGACAGTACCAGCCACACAGCAGCAGCTCTACCCAATATACTGAGTGAGAAAACTGCTTCAAGGATGGGATAGACATGCTCTGTCTGCTCTGATCTTACAGGTTAGATGTTGCTGAAGAAGCCTCTGAGATGTTTGGAGAGCTGGCTTGGGCACCTGAGTGATGCAGCTCTGTTAATTACTCAAATTAAGGGAGAGATTAAACAATAATTTTACCACTCTTTGGAACTTTAAAACCTCTATGCTGTGGCTACTGCGTTTCTTGCAAGTCCTCCCAGCAGTCCTCGTCTTCATTAAGAACCGGGAACACGTTTCCAAAAACACAACACACCTTACTGTGATAAAGTTACTAATCTTAGAATGTTTCATTTTAACCCAAGTGACTAAAATAGTATCCTAAACAATTACTAACAATGGGATCCAGCATCTGAAGTTGAGCTTAACACATAAGGACACAGATTTGCTTCCCCAAATGCATAAAACACTGCCTCTTCTAAAATTAATTACATTTGCACCAGACGGGGAAGAGGAAAGACAAGATAACTCTCGAAGCTCATTCTGAACACTCCAAGATAGAAACCAAGCATAACCCGAAGAAAGAGCCCTGCTGTAAAATATTAACACTGTTCTATTTTAAGGCATCACCCTCCTGCATTAGTGAGTGCACGACTGAATATGAGAAACTGCTCGCAAGGAGCAAGGTTGGAAGTGTCCCATTTGGGGCAAATCACAGTCTCCGCACCACTTTACAAAACACTAAGGGCTTTGCTTCTTAAACTTATTTCTTTGGTGCATATCCCATACCAAAGAAGGGCCTTGCATCACCAGCCAACTGGCTGACTGAGAGAGAGAGGCCTGTATGTGCTCTGCAAGCAGCATTCGACTGCCAGACAGGAGAAGAGTCACTCTCCCTGTCGGGGAATCACTGAATCCCACCAAAACGCAGCCACTTCTGGGAGGAAAAAAGGACAAGCATTGATTACCACCAAGGAAGAAGATATATAGGCAGGGAAGGAATTTAAAACTTCTCCCTTAATTAATTACTTCTCTTAATTAAAAACTTCTCCCTGAGTTAACTACACTGTTGTCAGAGCTGGAATTTAACCACAACATCGAAGTTAATACCTCTGGCAGGTGGAAAAGGTCAGAATAGGCATGGCAAATATTGTTGGTTAGCCAAAGCCTTATTTCACTGCATCTTCACGGACAGCACTGATGTTTTTTAACCTTGGTGGTGTCGGAGAACTCCTGCCTCACACTACACCGGAGAAGCAGATCAGATCTTTCTGCACCCTGAGCACACTGATGGCAGGAGGACCCGGCCTATCTGCATCGCCTTTTGATGTCCCAAAGAACTTCTCGAAGAATATTATCTGAAAGCTTACATCGGCAGCACGATTTTTTTTGCCACTTCTTTTGCTTTTCACTTGCAGATTTACATGCCAAAGCAAAATAAATCCTGCTACTTAAAGTGAAAGCCTGTGCAAAACAAGAGCTGATTGCGACGACTGGATAAGTGCTCCAGTCCAAGGCTGCTGCAATTCCTACCTGGGACCTGAGCACAAGACTGGCAGCGGGACCAGCGAGGCCCTGGGACACCCACAGCTCCCTGGGTGGCACCGCCTGCTCCAAGGCTGCGCTATCGTCCCTCCGATCCTGGGAGGCGTTGGCACAGTCAGATGTGACTGTCATGTGCTGCTTTGCCTACAAGATCATTGCACTTTACAGGAACCAGCTATTTCTCTTCTGCTGACTCATCTGCAGGCAATACTACTAAACTTTGCACTCTGCCATGTGTCTGCCTTGACACATGGACAGCATGTATGCGGAAGCCTCAGGGAAAAAGAATAAGTCCTGTCACTTCAGATAATAACCCTTGTCAGGCTATAAAGTACCAAAGAGTCCCTGTATTCCTCCACATTCCTCAGTCATAGGTCAAAAAGAATCCTTTCCCCCTGTTTTTCCCCACCTTCAACGCTCAGTTTAAAAGTAACCTTACTGGCATGTACCCCTGTAGAGATCTGTTGTAAACAGAAAGACTTGGAAGAAGTTAATGGCAAAAGACTCATCATGGATTTCTCTTTAATCAGTGTTTAAAAATCTTGCCCCATCTCCAAGGCAACTTCATGCCCCGCCCAGGCTTGCCATGCCCACCTCTGTCCCAATCTCCAGACTCAGAGCATCTGCCTGGAAACAGAGTGCTGCTGGCTGTGACCCAGCCTGTTCAGCTCCAGAGACACTGGGATGGTCCCCACAGTCAGCATCTGCTCTATCTACATGGTCTAAGTCCTTGAGCACCTTGTAAAGGTTACTGCAGGATCTGGCAGAGTCCTATCTACACGTAAAACAAAGTCTGCTTCAGCTTCTCCGGATAAACAACAGCAGCTATCCTGCAGCATAATCACAGACACTTGAACGTACAAAAGGGATTCCAGTTCAGCCAGTGCTACACATTGGTCCAACAGCATCCAGACCTTTGCTACACCAGCTAGAACAACCTCCCAGGCCTTGCCCCCTCTACTGATCTAGGCAGGCTGATAGCATTTTCTCTAGCAGAGCCTGAGAATGAACAAGCTCTGGCACTTGTGTCCTGCAATCGATAAAAAGATGCTGCTTCTCACCAACAAAGTCCCCATTGGCTTAAGACAATTCTACATAACACCACAACTGAAAAGAGTGCAGCACAATCACCTTGGCAGTGTTGTGAATTAATACACACATAAAAAAGAAAAACTGCCAGCAAGACCTTCTCTGTGAATTCACGGCCCTTCTGGGTATACCACAACCCCAAGGCACTGAGAGTCCCGCCATGCAACAGTGTCTGCTGTGGGTAGTGAAGCAGAAGAAGTAGGGTTTGTGCACAGTATCAGAGATCTGGAGCCTGCCCTGGGACAACAAAGTACGAGAATGGATGGTCATTTTGTCCCAGCTTCTCCACTGTGTTTTCTTTTTAGGACTTAACCACAGAGCTTTTTGAGACTTCAGTGTGAACTTCCTTTCGTAGTTTTACACGTCAATACCAATTCCTTGCTGCAACAGTTACTATTTGTGGCTCTTTATACAGTGATTTCAAGACAGTTACATCCCAGTTAGATCTTGGAGTGAGAAACTTCCAAGTCATGAATTTTAATAATTATGTATATACAGCAGATACCTTCAGGAAATAAAGCATGGGTACTTGTCATCTGAATTTCAAAAGCAAATACCATGGCTGTCCTCAGGCCCAGGAGTCCTGCAGATGGAAACCCAGCAGTACCTGTCCCTGACCACCCCAGCCCTTGCCAGCTACTCACCAGGGTCCTGGTGCTGCAGCAGGACAGGGTGGGGACACAGGGAAGGCCACCTGCAGCACCCTGCACCTCCCTCCACAGCCAGCGAGGGCTACCGAGGAGCATCGCAGCTCTCAGAATTCCTGAGGGCTTTAAAGTCTAAGCACAAACCCATTAATGAGCGCAGCCAGGGCTTTGGTGGACACCAAAAGCGGGTTACAGAGGACGAGTGCCTGCGCAGCAGCTGGGTCACACCTTCCTTCGCCGCGGCCAGGGCCACCTCCTCACTGTCCTCTCTAGGCCGTGGCTGTGTCCTCTAGGTCAGGGCACGTTCCCCAGAGCCCCCCTGCTCGGAACCCTGCGGGTGAACTCCAAAAGTTTCCCGCAGCGTCTGCTGCTGTCTCCTCTCAGCCATCCCCGAGGAGCAGCCCCGAGGATCACACCCGAGCCCCAGCCCCTGCCCAAGCCCCCACGAAGCTTGGCACGGCGACCACCCCAGCAGACGCTGCCCCCCTACCCAAAGCCAGTGCCCCATGTCCCGGCCGGCCAGCACCTCCCGCCTGTGCCACGGCCACCCCGCGGGGAGCGCGGTCCGGGGAGGGACCCCGAGCGGCTCCGCAGCGGTGCCCTCGTGTGCCGCCAACCCAAACCCGGGCCCCGTGACAGGCACGGCTCTGTCCCTGTCCTGTCCCTGCACCCACAGCCCCCCACCGCCCCCTCAGCGCCAGCCCCCACTGCCGCCGGACTCCCCCTTACCCGCGCTCCGCCGCCGCTCCGCCGCCCAGCCCGGCCCAGCCCAGGCCGGCCCCGCCCCGCTCCCGCCGACGCCAACGGGGCGCGGGCGGAGCGTCGGCCCCGCAACGACGGGAAGCGACCGGCCCGGCCCCGGAAAGCCGCGTCCCGGGAAACCGCGCCTTGGAACCTCCGTTCCGGATCGCGACGGCCCTCCGCGTCACGGAATACACCGAGTTGGAAGGGGGCCACAAGGATCGGCCAAGCCCGCCTGCTGGCCGTGCACAGGGCAGCTCCGAGAATCGCGTCATGTGCCTGAGAGCCTCGTCGAAACGCTTCTTGAGCTCTGGCAGGCTTGGTGCTGTGCCACTGCCCTGGGGAGCCTGTTTCCAGTGCCCGACTGGGTGAAGAACCTTTCTTAGTATCCAACCTAAAGCTCCCCACTCTTCATGCCATTCATGCCATTCCCTCGGGTCCTGTCACTGGTCACCGCAGAGAAGAGATCAGTGCTACCCTGCTCTTCCCCTCACGAGGAAGGTGTAGACTGTGATGAGGTCTCCCCTCAGTCTGTCCAGTGTAAATTCCAGGGGTTCTGGAAGGAGGGAGCAAAGCATCCTTAGCGCTGCCCTGAGCCATGGTGACTTCAGGGCAGCCCTGCATGGCCACACAGCCGCGGTCCTCCTGCCTGTCCCGGCGGTGCAGGACACCAATGCACAGTGCTTCAGCAGCAGCTCACTCTTTCTCCAGGGAAAATACAGCATCCCTGTCCCATGCCACAGCCAAGGGTGGTGAGGTTGAACGATCACGGACGCAAACCTTCTTACCTACTTTGTACAATACGTTTGTGAAGCAGCCATTAAAACTCTCCAGAATGGAGCAAGCGCAAGGTGAAAAATCATGATTTAATAGCCATGACTTGATATAAGCATCCAAACGAGTCTGAGGTCATATATACCATCTCTTGGAAGGTGTTGCTGGGGGGGGGGGGTGGTTTGCTGGTCCCTAAAACTCACACTCCTGGGTTATGCATAAACTGAGCAGTGCCATCTCATCTCTGGGCAGGTGCCTGTGGGTGACACCCACAGGCAGCAGCAAAGCAATCAGGGAAGTCACCCTCCATCTCCCATCAGAGGAAAAGGAGAGGAAGCCACTTTCAAACAAACAGAGACCCAGAAGTATGCTGTATCTGGCATTGTAGCCCAAAGAGGGATTTCAGAAGATGCATCATAATTTTTTACTTCCCTGACTTCCAAGAGCTGCACAGAGAGTGTTCTGCTCCTAAAGTTGGTGAGGGTGGGATTCAAGGTTCACCTCACCCCACTTCAGCATGCTAAAAGCCAGTTCATGTCACTGGAATGGCTCACCTGTGCTTGGTCAGCACACAGAGAACAGGCATCACCACAGAACAACTCATCCCACCTTCCAGTGGGCATCCAAGATGCTCTCTGGTGGCATGCACTCTCTCAGGAACCAACCTGGTCTTCTAACTTTGGGGGAGTGAGAAGCTTTAGCACTCTTCTGCAGATCTACAGCAGCCTTTCCAATGCTGGAGTCCCAACAAATTTGGTTGTAAACACCCACCCTTGTATCCCAAAACAGAGAGGCAGAGATTGAGAAAGTACTGCAGTATCTGCTGAAGAGGGCAAGGAGCGATGATCATTTGCAATGTCCCTGGGTGCACCAAACTAAAGAGTAGTTACAGCAGGGGGGAGTTTTGGCAGTCTTGGGGTGTGCAGGCTCTGGCCTGACCTAATGTCCTAAATACCTTGTCTTCCTATCAGTTAATACCACCTCATGTGACACAGTTGGGACTCACAGCCCAATTGTTATAGGAGTCACAGAAACAAATCTGGATAACCGGAATAAGAGGTCAGCTTTATGGGTTAATTTACAAAGAAACCTCAGAAAACATTCATCTGAGTAGTGCAGACAAGCCATCCAGGGTAGTGCACCTTGTAGAGTGGAAGAAAATGTCACAGTAGAAGAAGTATCAAATACATAGATTTATTATGTTTCTTTTCTTATAAATATTTCATTAATTTCATAAAAATAAAAGTAACAGAACCCTCTCAAGACAAAAGTTTAGTTTGTCTTAGAAACAATACACTTTTAGGACAAAACCAACATACTACATAAAAAACAAAGGGCCATTTAAATAAAGGACATAATAATATTGTGCTTAAAGCTCTATTGATATCCACAAGGAAGAAGGAATGTTGTAGTGTGTAGACCAGGTGTAGGACGTGCTTTGTAGAGCTGTTATTTTCTTAGGTACTAAAGGAAGAACATGATGCTTTAGTGCACTTTAACAAAAAATACCCCAAAGCAATGCTTTCTCCTCCAACTCTGTCCCTCTGTGCAGTGTTTGCCACTTTCAATAGTAGAAGCAGCCAAACGCAGCTACCACACAAAACAGGCTGTCCTGGGGAAAACAGAGAAAGGCTCCATGTTAGTCAAGGCAAGCTCTTTGCTAGCCTAGTGGAATGGGAAAACCTCAGGAACATTTAGACCAGAGCATAACCTTGCTTTGTAATATATTGCAACTTTCTGTCTTTTGTTCACCTCACAGGTCAGTGCATCTGAATGCCAGAAGTGCCTCACTTGCCTCCATCCACACACCCGCAGGTGTCTAGGTGTCAGTTTAAGATAAATAATGAAGTAAAACCTCAGCTTCTACTTAGTCCTGGATTTCAGCCATGCTCCACGACTGCAGTTCAGCAAAGCCCAGAGAAAAGACTTTGTCTCTTGTGCTTCCTCTCCCCACCTGTAAAATGGTGTGACTATAATGACTTTTGTACAGTACTGTGTGACCTACTCAGGAAAGAAGTTTTCCTATGTTGGATATTATATCTAAGTATGTTATGTGAATGAGGACATAAATCATACTGGTTCAATAGTCTCAGTTCCTTCCTTCTATTGGTTGCATTTTTTTCTGCTCCATATTTAAGGTCTCCCTGGCTCTCATACAAAAGCAAGTAGCCTTACACTTCCCATGGGAATCCAGCTGGTACTTACATTCATGAACACGTCGTGAGCACAGCTGTCAGTGTCAGCGTCCCAGAAACATCGCGCAGCCATGCTAAACAAAGGAGCAGAGCGGAGACATTACCCAGAGTTCACGTGTGAGCACCTAAGTGATCACACATACTGTCCTTGAAAACCAAACAGAGCTTCCTTTAAAGATAAAGGAATTGGGAAGTGTTCTCCTGAATCCCAAGCCTAAATCTCCCCTGCTGAATACAACATGCTGTAATCCCCTCTGTATGTGGCTCAAGCTCGATCTTCAAACTCATCACCCTATCAACCCTGCTACCTCCACTGTGCAGCAGGGCTTGAACCTCATTGGTATGGTGCATAAGAATCTTTGACTTCTGGCCTATGTGTATCAGTGGCTGATTTAGCTTATTTGTCCTTGTCCTTCACCTCCTGCACCCTCATGGTACATACTCCCAATTTATTTATAGGGAGCTATCGTATTCCTTGGCAGATGCCATGTTACTAGACCATGAGCTAAGCTCTTCTAGTGCTTTTGTATCTATACGTTCTGTTCCCTGAACATCCTGCTGGACTTCTACACCTGCTTCAGTCCAAGCCTTATCCTGAGGACAAGCAACTGGCCCGTAACAGGGTATTACAGATGAGACCTCACTGCTGCCTTGTCTAATGTCACTGACATTCCCGTTTCTATGCTGCAAATGTCCCACTCCCTGCCTACCTCAGTAAGTCTCAGCTGATGGGATTCCTGTTTGTGGCACATGATATTGTTCCCAGTCCCTACATTTATGACTCACTGTTCTAAGATGGCTGATTTTCATCTCTTCGACTATCTTAGCCCTCAAGGTTATCCTGTTTTTTCGGTTTTTGCTGTACAGTATTCCACTCTGCCTCTGGAACACCCTGGTTACCCAGTATTTTGCATTAAGGATATTGGTGACCATTCGTCAATATTGCCTCCTGCCTGTTGCAAACCAGAGAACTTCCCCAATTACTCTGTCATCGTGTGTTGCTGGGCTTCACATTTCCAGTCAGACCACCTCACTGAACTGTTCACCCTAGTACGGTGCTTCTGGAGCAGTCTGCCTGCAGCTGGACATTCCTGACAAGAGCCTGAGCAACAGGTATAAATATTTCTCTCCGATGCCCAAAACACTGAGGCAGCTCTGTTGTACTTATCTTCTGCTGGAACAGTAATACAGATAAGCCCAGCAGATAAAGCACGTAAACCTTGTGGGCTGCTCTCTTTTGTCTTCTCCCTATCCAGTAGTAATGGAAAGCTACAGCCCACTACTGCAGCCAAGAGGAATTCTTTTGTCTGACTGTAGGCATCTGGAGCTAACTGCAGGTGCTCAGCACCCACATGGGAATCTAGCTAGGTTCCCATGACAGTAGTGCAGGGGGATTATATATATTTAAACTTCTGAAAAATGCCTACCTGGCATGATTAAATGTAAATGAAGTGCTTATGGAAATCTGGCTTTAGACAGAAGTGAATTACCATGGCTCTTGTGCTACAGCAGAGCCTTGGGAATGGATGGGGTGTGTGCCCTACTTCATCATGAATACAAAATAAAATGCTTCTGCAACACTCCTCACTAATGCTTCTCAGCATTTCAGGTTGCTAAAAACCACCACAGAGCCCATTATCACTGGCTAATTCAATCAGCCACAACCTAAGCCTTCAAGTGCCACTTAAAGAGAAAAGAAAGTGCTTTACACTTTATCATCTGCAGAGAGATTTTTGTACCTAGGGAAGCTGGAAGCAGCTTCCAAAGAAAAAAAAACACACCCAAATCCAACAAACGTGATAGAAAGACAATTAGAAAACTTACTTCACTCCTTCTCCTCTCTGTTCTCCAATCACAACCTGCACCACCATTTTGTACCTGTCAAATCCCTCCTCTGGAGAGAGAGAAAAAATAATAGTGAGGGAGCAACAATTTGTTTAAAATATGAGCCCAAAATAGGACCCTGAACGCCACAAAGCCAATGTCCTCTACAAGCCCGTGCAAGTAGACAAGTGGGCAGACTGCCTTGTGGCTTCATTTTCCTAGAACGGAGTACCATGGTTTTACCGGAGTTAAAGGGTGAACAAGGTAGTTGGCATCTATCAAAAGATGCATCTAAGGCAGAAAACACCCCTGAACAGCCACACTGTATGTCAACATTCTGCTTTGACAACTTAGAAGACCTGACCACATGGAAAGAACATATATAAGGCTGCTGTGGACAAAATGCAAATGGAAAAAAATTGTCTTATTTTAAAACTGTTCTGATGCAAAGGTATTGTAGAGATTCTTCTGCCACATAGGCATTTCCTTTGCTTCTGAGTGGGAAAAAAGGCCCCATAAAAGCATATGTGGGTCTGTGTTATGTGTGTGCACAGATATGCAATTGTTTTACAATAGTAAAGAAACGCCTCCGGGGCACAGACCAGATCCAATCAGGCCATGGCAATGTTCCAGAAGCCAAATCAGAACAAGCATGTTTAAAATCAAATATGGATCCTAATGCCTGTCTTCAACAAAGCAGTGTCCCGGGAAGACTCCGGCGCATTGTTTCCACTGGAGGATTGAACACAACAGGCTGGGTCTGTTATAACATTCACCATGTCAATGCTTATCAGAGATACCAGCTGATACAGCGGCCACACTGGGCCAGCCTTGCTTCAGGCTGCTGCAACTGTGTTTACACATTACTGCAGCCAAGGCCTGTGCATATGAGCTTGGCATCAACACGTGCTGGGCCTGCAGCTGCTGCTGGCTTTAAGGCAGATGTGCAAGTCCGGGAGAAGCATCAATCCACGGCACCTGCCAAGGTGACAGTCCGGCCATGCCACTGCACTGTGTCAGGCCAGCCCAGCAGATGGAGCACCAGCCTGTCCCCAGGAGGAAAGCAAAAAAAAAAAGTGGTTGTGCCAGCACACACATCCATGTACTTGTCCCAGCACAGAACTCAGGAAACACCTGCTGGAGCTTGCAGTTTCCTTCTTGAACTCAAAAAGGTTGGAGGGCATCCTGTGCAGCACCACCACAACCTTCTTGCAGTGCTGTAAGGCTGTAGTCACACCCCTCCTTGTCAGACTGCTCCTCTCTCCCTCTTCCCTGTGCCCAGTGAGCCTTGTTCTGATCTTCCTGCTGTTCCACTCTGACCCAACTCTGATCTCACAGCAGAAAAAAAGCAGAAATAGTTCTGTTTATGGAAGAAAGAAGCAATGAAGCATCACTTCTTTCTTCTCTCTGATGCCGCTTCTTCACCCCTGCAGCCCCTCCTGACATCCCACACCAGCCAAGCTACATGAAAACAGATCTTGTCTGCTGGAATTAGATCTTCAGTTCTGCAGGCAAGGAATGTATATATAGGACAGATTGTTTCATAACAGTAGACTCGACTCAGTCAACAGGCAAGGAATAGGTTTCAAGAATAAAGGAGGAAAGAAAGATTTTGTCAAAAGGGAGAGGACACGGTAAGGAAAGAAATTACTTCCCCAGCAGACCTCCTTACCTTTCAGTCTGTCTTTTATTGTTTCTGATAAGGACCTTGTAAGCTCGGGTATTTCTTCTGGGTCGTACTGTACATTGGCCAGCTTCTCCTTCAGTATTGCATGGATGCATTCTTTTACTGTGGACGATTTAAATCTATCAGGGAAAAAAAAAGCAGCAACAGAAAGCCCCGAAAGTTCACACAACGTGTAGAAACGTACATAACCCCACCTGGGAAAATGTAGCTTTCACATATTAAAGAAAAAATGACAAATCAAAAACCGCGGGGGGGGAAAAAAACCCTGCTACGATGGAGATACTTAACCAGCCCTGCCAAAAGCCAAACACCCATGAAAAGGTGAGAAACCAGCCCCTCCAGCTGGTGTGAAGTTGCCCCTGAGCAGCATCCCCCACCCGAGTGCGTGTCCAAGTTGGTTAGGGAGTCCCGTGCCCCCCATCTCCCACACCCTCGGGGCTCCCCCATTCCCAGCAGACCCCCACAGCCCCTCCTGCCCAGGGAGCCCCTCCCCGACATTCGACATTCCCACCACAGCTCCCACATCCCCAGGGCCAACCCCCCCCCACCCACCCCAGTCCAAGGCTCCCACCATCCCCTCTCCCTACCAAAGCCCCCAGCCTCGGCTCACCGGTGCTGGAGGCCGGGCCGAAGGCTGTAGGTGTTGCCGGCCCCATCGTCCGTGCCCAGCTCGCCCATGGCCGCGGCCCCCGCAGCCTCGCCGGCGTTGGGTTACCGGGACAACCCCCGCCGCTTCCGCCGCTCCCCCCGCCCGCCCCCGCCGCGTCAGCGCCGCGTCAGCGCCATCGGGGAGCGGGGGGTGCGGGGCCGCCGGCAGGGGTGTACTGACTACCTTTGTTAAAAAAACAACAACAACAAAAAAAAAAAGGCAACGAAAAACAAACCTCCAACAACAACAAAACCAAAACCAAACAAAAACAAAAACCCCAAGACAACCCCCCCCCCAAAAAAAAAGAACCCACCCAAAACACACAACAAACCCCAAAGCCCCAAAATTATTTTGACTAATTTTTGCGATTAAAAAACTTGCCCAATAACGTCATTGGTAAATAAATGGTAAATAACCACTATGATGATTGTAAACTATTTTAATAGTTGTATTAATGGTAACATTTTGTTGTGGAAGGCACTGAGGTGCTGAAGCGTGTTCAGAGAAGGGCAATGAAGCTGGTGAAGGGTCTGGAGCACCACTCCTATGAGCAGCGGCTGAGGGAGCTGGGGGTGTTTTGCCTGGAGAAAAGGAGGCTCAGAGGTGACCTTATCACTCTCCACAACTCCCTGAGAGGAGGCTGTAGCCAGGTGGGGATCAGGCTCTTCTCTCAGGCAACCAGTGACAGGATGAGACGACATAGTCTTAAGCTGCCACTGGAGGTTTAGGTTAGCCATTAGGAGGATTTTCTTCACAAAAAAGTTGATTAAACTTTGGAATGGGCTGCCCAGAGAGGTGGTGGAGTCACCGTCTCTGGAGGTGTTTAAGGAAAGGCTGGACGTGGCACTTAGTGCCGTGGTCTAGCTGTCATCGTGGTGTTCAGTCACAGGTTGGACTCAATGATCTCAGAGGTCTTTCCAGCCTAAATGAGCCTGTGATTCTGTAAATAAAGTGTTTCATGAGGCTGCTGCCTGGGGTGAGGCAGGAGATCTGACAGGGAGAGAGTGAGGTAAGATGGCCCAGGCTCTCTGGGTGCTTCCCCGATGCCCCCATCCTGCCCCAAACCAGCAGCTGCAGCCCCTGTGTGCACCCTCATCCAGGACTCAGTGGGCTGGAGCAGCTGTGGGTGCCAGCAGGGCAGAGAGGTCCCTGTGCCCAGAGACATGTCTGCCAGACCTGGCCTCAGCTGGACAAGGTGAGGTGTGATGGTGTCCCAGACCCAGGAACCTTGCTGGGAGGGCCTGGCTGCTGAGGGGCAGTGGGTGCAGGTGGAGGAGAACACAACCTGGACTCATTGCCACTGCAAAGCCTGTTCCCCTGATTTTTGCCTGTGTGTTGCTGCCAGACCTTGTACTCTCTTCCTGCCTGTGAGCAAAGCATCCCAGCCATCAGGGAGAAGGTCCCAGCCTTTCTCCTTTCCTCCGGGAACTTCTTAAATCCTCCATAAAAGGCCTAAACTTCTTGTTCCCTGATATCCTCTCCCTGTCATACCCCTGTGCTCTTTTCCCTGCCTGCAGCTGCTGTCTGTCCCAAGGAAGGCTGCATGTGACGCAGCCCCTCCTGAGCTGACATTCTGCTTACCCCGCAGTTTATCTCGATGCTGCGATCTCCTCGATCCTTCCTGCGTGCAGTGGGTGACGCAGCTGAGAAAGGTCCCTGTGTGCTTCACTCAGCTCCGAATGGAAACAGTGTGAAGGCACAGCCAGTGCCGGTACAGAGCATGCTGCTGCCAGGATCGAGGTGCTGGAGGGGGCCATCACGTGTGACAGGGCTGGGGATGACTGCAGGTGCCCCTGGGGTACAGGAGGTGTGAGGTTGGACCAGGACGCAGAGGGTACAGCTACTGCAGTTTTGCTTGGGATGCACAGGCACATCCCAACTGGTGCCAGGTCCTGCCCCAAACTGCTCTGAGCATAGATGGGTTGATGAGATTCCAAGCAGCAGGAGCTCCTGATTTCCACATTTAGCAGCACCACTTGCTAGGGATGGACCATCAGAGTCCTTAGTACCACCGGACTCTGCCCACCAGTAGGAGCAGCACCTTACTACCATGCTGAAGGTGATGATGGCCCCGTGCCATACCCGTGTGGCACCTTCCCATCGGAGTTACCATAGCTCTGCCCAGGCCCCGCAGGTTTCCACTCGCTAAAGGAACAGTTTTGTGCCTCTGTTCCATCCCTCTGCTTACTCACTGCTTACCGTTGCTTACTCACACCCACGGGCTGCTGCCTGTCCCCACAGGGTCAGGTGCTGTTCCTCATGCAAATAATTTGCAGAGACCTTCCTAAATTCTAAGAAGTATCTGAAAGACCTCAACACCCTTCTGTGTTTATCTGCAAACACTATTAACCGTTTCCTCTTCTTGCCCCAGCCATTTGCCTCCCGCCTGGGTCAGAGCCACAGATGTGAATTCAGTTAAAATGTTGGGGGAAGGATCTTTGAAACCTGTGGGTTTCTCTTCCTGAGCATCTTTTTGTGGTAATCTGTGTTCCCCATTTCATTTGGGAAGCTTTGCTTTCCCTGGACTTCAAGGTCATTTAGCTTTGGACTCCAGTCAGCTTATCTGACGTGTTTGATCACAGCTTTCTTTTTCATCTTCCAAATTTCCAGTGCTCCTTAAATACCCCAGATGCTTGTAAGCCATATTGGGTCTGACTCTCTATCCTTTGACTCTGGTGATAGCTGTGTGCCCTGACAGTGATGGCTGCAGGAGACTGGAGCCTCCTCTGGGTCCCAGCTGTGTCCCAGACTCTCACTGACACATTGGCCACCTTCTTGTTGGGGGAAAAAAAAGACATTTGTGCTCCTATGAAGTGGTATGGTGTGCTTGCTGAAGTTACTCTCTCTTAGTTTTAAAGAGCAAACACTTATTTCTCTTTGTCCTTCCTTTTTAGACCTTCTTTTCCTCTTTTGGTGGCCGCATAGCAAAGGACCGTTGCGTGCAATTTACTGTATTCCATCTCACAGAAAGTGGCCCCCTCAGCAAAACCCCAAAGTGTATCATCCACCCCATTGGGCTGGAGGGGATTTACCAGCACAATGGGGTGCTGCAAAATGGTCTGAGCCAGGCTGTTTTCCTTGGTGCTGGAGAAGCTGGTGAAAGAGCCGGCAGGAGTTGTGTTGGTCTGGCAGGGTGCAGGCAGGGTGCAGGCAGGGTGCAAGGCCTTCCTAAAGCCTGGTGGCTGCTGTGTGGCTGGGGCTGGGCTCCTCTGCGATGCTGACACCTGGGGCACATGCTGGGCTGGGGCACGGCACTGCTGCTCACCTCGCTTTCCTCCGCAGCGACTTCCTAACAGCGAGATTGATCTTTTCTTTTATTCTTTTCATCGCTTTTTTTTTCTCAGAAAAAAGGGCATCTAGACATTGTTGGTTTCTCATGGACGTGGCAGCCTCCCCGCCTCAGGTACCGGCTTACACCCATTTCAAGCGCGTATTGGAAAGTTTGAGCAATTCGTGCTATGATTTTAATCAGAGCCCTGTGCTGCTGCCGCATGGGGTGGGGAGGATGAGCCAGTTTTTCCTGCTGTTCCCTGCCTCGAAAAGTTGTGATCTTGGTAGTGATACCCATCACATCTTCTCCCTTTAGAAATCAAAACATGTGGCAAGTGCCAAACAAGCCTTCCCCACCTGGCCTAGATGCCTGGTGTCAGCCATTTGGGGACATAAAGCCTCAAGGCAGAAAAACCTCCTTGCTATGAGCTTCTGTATTTCCTGAAGTTCAGTTTAGTTTAGTTTAGTTAGGGTTTTTTTGAGTGGGAATGCAGGAAATTGTGAAAGAAGATGTGAGGTCCACCTCAAAACCCACCTGCACCCTTGCACATGGTGGAGAGCGCTCCCTTTGCCACCCATCCAGGTAGTGCAGTGGCCTCTGGACAGGTGGCATGGAGAGGTGACAAGGTGGGCACAGCTCCCAGCCTTGCTCTGCAACCCACGCACGGCCAGCAGCTCATGAGAAAGGAATGATGCTACAATGCCAGGAGGAGACTGGAAAAGAAGACTCAGGACAGGCTGGATTGAGCCACCCACCTAGGGTGAGCCTTGTCTGCCCCAGTTCAGAACCCCCTTCTTGGCCATCCCAATTTGACCATCACAGTAGTGTTAGGTTAATAGTTTGACTTGATGATCTTAGACATCTTAAGGATTCTATGGTTCTATGAAATTAGGGGTGGCTCCCCCAGCCCACTCACCTGTCAGGACCATGTTTGAAAGTGAGAGGTGAGCAAGCCCCGGCCCTGCAACTCATTTCTGAAAGCCTGGAAAATAATGAAATCGTCATTAGAATCACATCCTTCACCCCAATTATTAATTTTCCCCTGGCACTTTCCAAAATTGCAAGGCACTGAGGCTGTGTTTGAGAGAAGTGGCGGAGCTGCTTTCACCGCTGGTTATTTCCTATGCAAGTATTAGTCAGTGTGGTGAGCGGGGAACATCGACGGCGGAAAAATTACAGAAGCCTTCTGCAAATGTCACCCCAATAACAGCACCCTGGCCCTGGGCACCTACCTTTGCTCTCTGCAAATCTGTTGTGAAAAAACACCCTGAAGGAGGCAAACCTTCTCCTTCTCCTTCTCCTTCTCCTTCTCCTTCTCCTTCTCCTTCTCCTTCTCCTTCTCCTTCTCCTTCTCCTTCTCCTTCTCCTTCTCCTTCTCCTTCTCCTTCTCCTTCTCCTTCTCCTTCTCCTTCTCCTTCTCCTTCTCCTTCTCCTTCTCCTTCTCCTTCTCCTTCTCCTTCTCCTCCTTCTCCTTCTCCTTCTCCTTCTCCTTTTCTCGTTCTCGTTCTCGTTCTCGTTCTCGTTCTCCTTCTCCTTCTCCTTCTCCTTCTCCTTCTCCTTCTCCTCCTTCTCCTTCTCCTTCTCCTTCTCCTTCTCCTTCTCCTTCTCCTTCTCCTTCTCCTTTCTCCTTCTCCTTTCTCCTCATCCTTCTCATTCTCCTTCTCTCTCTTCTCCCATCCCATCCCAGTGGGAGCAGCCTACCAGTAGGTGCTCCAGACCCTCCCTATCTATCCAGTGCCACATGTCCCGCAACACCCCACTGCCTTGGGCACCTGTTGGGACTACCCGTGGGTGCCTGGGAACCCAAGACAGCTTTCACTTATGTGCCAGGCTTGGAGCTGAGGACCTGTCCCTTGTGACCCCTGCCTGCTCCATCCCTGGAAGATTTCCCCAAAAAGGGTTCAGGCTCAGAGGTGCCTGTCTCTGCTGCTTGGTAGCTGGCTGCCTGTGTGGGAAAGCAAGGAGGGGAAGGGGCCAGGTATGGCTCAGCTGATCCCTGCCTCTGAGGGGAGGAAGCTGGGGGCGGGAGGCAGCCCGGGTTTCCCTCTGGGGGAGAGATGGGCACGTTTCATTTCCACCCAGCCCTTGCAGTGTACGACAGAGAACAAGCTGCTGCTGCGGGGAAGGAAGCACGGAGAGAGCCGGGGCTGGTACAGCACATACAGCACAGCACATCACGCCTGCCTGGGTAGGGGACCCACCACCTCGCTGTGGCTCTAGGTGCTTTGAAGACAACGTGGGGCAGCATGGAGGTGGCCCTGGCTGGCCTCTGTGCCGTCCTGCTCTGCTGCGGGCCCACGCTGGCCTGCTGCCGCAGGGGTAGGTACTGGAGTGTGGTGTGCTTGCTGGCGTGGCCTGTGTCATTTGTTGCTCTTGGAAAATGCCTAAAGGCTAGTCTAACTAACTAAGAATCTGGCATCAAGAAGGCAGAGACCCCAAAGCTTTTGGGTACATGCGGCTGAAACAAAGGACATGGGGATGCTTGAGGCAGAAACGGGATTAACAGCTGGGGAAGGGGACACAGCCCACAGTGCTGACACCAGAGCTGTGTTGTGGCACAGTGACTATAGTTAGGGTTTGGTGGGTTTGCCAGTGCCATGTGGGGTCTGGTGTTTTCTGCTCTGGTTCTTATGGCTTCAGTCTGTGCCCTTGGGCTGCAACTCCTGTTTTGGACTTGACACTGAGGAAGCCAGGGTACTTTCTCTGGGTGAAATTTGGGGAAGAAGGAGAGGTTGAGGGGAAGTGTTGAGTCTTGGCAGAGCAAGTGAAAGCCCTGGTGAAGCTGTGTTCCCCCTTCCTCCCAGCCTGACTCTTTCTTTGGTGGATTCATGTGTTTTCTGTCCTGATGGTGGTTGCAGGGTTGGGCAGATGTTACCTCTGGTGCTGGGAAGATGCAGGGAAAATGTAAACCCAACATCTACTTTCAGATGTCCTCCAAACACTTCATTCATTGTTGGCACCAGCAATGGTAGAAGGCAAAACCCTGAGCCTGCCAAATATTTCCTGTTAAACACAAAACACTGCAAAATTCAAAACCTGCAAATTCAAAATACAAAACACTTAAAAAATTCCATCTCTTAGTGTGCGCGCTGCCACAGCTGGTGCTCCGGTGGGAACTGGGGCACTTCCCTCCCTCCTCCTGTTTGGTCTCATCCCTCATTTCTCATCCCAGTTTTCCATCTGATCTTGTATCTATTTAAGAAATCGTCCAGGTTCATTTTCTGGTTGATGACACTGAGATCATGGTCCTACAGCCTCAGGCCAGAGCTGGAGGGACAGGAGGGACTTTCTGTCTCTGCCTGCAAGCTCTGGGGCTGCTATTGGTGTTGATTTCTGAAAAGGGGAGGTAAATTTCTTAATGACAGAGACTTTTCAAAGCCTTGGTTGTTTGAATCATTTGGACAGGTAACCCATGTGAAAAATGCCTCTTCCCACTTTTTATTGCTCTGAACAGAAATTAATGCAACAACTGCCATGTTCTACTGCATGGGACTGGCTGAACTGGGCCAGTGTGTGCCTGTCCCATGTTTGCAGCATCCCCACTGCCTAGAGGGGTTGAACATACCAGCATAATGGGGAGGGAAATGTGGTGAAGCAGCAGGGCTGGTGCTGAGAGCCAAGAGGCCTGTGGCTGTAGCTGACTGCCCTCTGTGCTGGGAGCAGCCTGGCAAGCCCATCTGGGACCCCCAGGGTGGAGGGCATACAGTTTGGGGACAGGCAGCTGGGAAGGGATGGCACTGTACGCTCCAGGTTGCTCTGTCCTGTTAGGTGGTCTCAGGCTGGAGATAGCAAATACTGTGCCATGGGCAGCCCCTGCCTGCTCTGAGGTCCAAGCATGGTGCAGTGGGCAGAGCCAGAGCATCCCAGCAGGCAGCCAGGCGTGAGATGGGCTGCACCACAAGGCACTGCCCCAACCCAGGACTCAGTCCCTCCGCTCACTTTCAGAGTCGGCATCAGCTGGAGGAAGGATGACTCGGATATTAAAATATAGCATAGATTTTGAAATAGTACAACCTTCAAAGTTTGTTTTCCCTGGTAGAGGTGTTCTGTGCTAATTTTAGGTAGCCCAGAACACAGCTTGCTCTGCTGAAACCACTTCACCGTACAGTTACTAACTCTGAGGGTCCCCTTCTACCCAGCAGGCACACACAGGAGGGAAGAGACATGGACTGATGTACCTCCCTGTGACCCAGAGTGATGAAGTGGACTGGGCTTGCATCCCTGGCTCCTGCACAGGGGGTATAACTGTTTCTGAGATCTGTACCTGCTGTAACCATGTCTGCACCTTGTTTCCTCTCTCCCAAACAGTGACTATCTTCCCATCAGTGTTGAATTTCCATGAAGGCGGCATAGCCACCTTCTCCTGCAATATCTCCATGGAGAGTGACTCTGGCTCAGAGTACAGCCTCAACTGGTACAAGGAGACCAACCTCAGCCAAGCCCAAAAAATAGCTGAGATCAGCCAAAACAACCCCACGATGAAGACGGAGAAATACCGGCTCACCAATCACACTCCTGTCTTCACGATCGAGATCCTGAACCTCCACCAGAATGACTCGGGCTCCTACTACTGTGGACTGATCACCCTCTTTGAACCCAATAAAGTGATGGAGAGCAAACGGTCCGAGCTGATGGTCACAGGTCAGGCTTGGGGCTGAGCTGATGGGTAGCACATTGTAGCTTCAGGGCTTAAGGCAGGCAGTACCCTGCTGGTGGAGGATCTGACATGGGTCAGGAGAGCACAGCTCTGCCCTTTCCCCTCTCCTTTGCATTCAGGGTTGAGGTCCAGGAACACAGGCTGACTTCCCTGTAAACACTGCATCTAGATGTGGTCCTGATGCAGGAGGTCTTCATCCTGCTGGGGCTGTGTCCCCAGTAATGCTGTTGGGAGAAGCAATTCTTACCCATTGATGGAGGTCTGAGACCAGTAGGGAACTGTCTTCATCCTTGAACAGCTCCTTCGGGGACGGGAATTGCGTTTGGGGTGATGACCAGGGCTCAGATGCCTCGAACAGCCAGTGTTGGTGTAGATCCTGACATTGCAAAATCATGCTCTGTGAGGGTCTGATAGTCCTGTGGTGTGTGAGACTGAGATTTTGCAGCAGTGTCTGCCATACCCTTGCTTGACAGCAGAGGGGCTTTGTGGAGCTCAAGCTGGCCTTTTATAAAAAGGAAAAACTCTGCAGAAGTCACTGTCTTCCACAATATCTCTTCCCAGTGCGAGCTGATGTTGTACTGGCCCCAGGATGTGGACATGGAAGGGAGGCCTGGGGAAGCTGTCCTCCATTGGGCTCTGCTGAGCATGGGGTCATGGCACAGGACTGCCTGCAGGTGCAGAATGGAGCCCTGACCCTTTGCACCCCAACTCTCAGAGATGTGGGATCATCTTCACCACCTGCAATGGGAAGGAATGGGACACATCCAAAACATCTCCCATGTCAGCCCTAAATCAGGGCCCCTGGAGGGATGGTGGGGCTGTGGCAGCCTGTCTGGGACTGAGCCTATTCTGAGGATGGTCCCTATGTTCCTCTGTTGCCTTTTACAAGAACTACAGAGATAATTTCCCACTCCTGACCTGCTGTTTTTGAATGGCTCTTGCAGCAGCCCCTGAGATGAATCCAACTGAGGAGCCAGAGATAGAGGAAGGCAACCTCTCAGACCACATCAAGGCCATGCTCCTGGGGATCCTGCTGCTGGCCGGGGTAGTTCTGCTGCTGATCTTTGGCTACCTCACCATCACGTACAGGAGAGGAGGTACAATCCCCCTGGGGGCCATGCAAACCCAGCCTGGGACAGGGATCAGCCAGTTATCTGCAGCTGCTTGGGGTGCATGGCCTGGTTCAACGTGCTAAACTCTGCTGTGACATATCCCTATGGAACGATATCTCAATGCCTAGGGGAGATGGGTGCTTTGAGCCCTGCTTGCCCGCTGTAGAGCCCTCAGACTATGTACAGTGGCTCTACACCACTCGTTGGTGTGGTGCCCCTTGCCCAGGCACCTTTGGAGTGTCTCATTGTCACCCTGCTGCAGCACAGGGCATCACCTCAGCCACTCCACAGGCACCCCAGAGGGTCTCACAGAGGGGCCCCCTGCATTCCATTAATTCAAATTAAACTCTGGACTGTGGGCTGATGTCTCACTTGTCCTTGTAATGCTCAGGGTGTTAGATCCTGAGCAGAGAAGGAAATGGTTGTGATGTCCAGTGCTCTCTAAGACGGGGGGCTGGGTCAGTTCATGCTGTTGTGGTGAACAAGTCTCTTCTAACCAAGTGTGTTACTTTGCAGATGTGCAGAAACCACCAAGTGAAAACATGCCAGCGGTGAGTTTTCCGCCTCTGTCGTCCTGCCGTGCTGCAGGGGAGCACTGTGGCATCGCTGGGGTGAGCAGGGTGCAGCGCCTCCCTTTATCAGCCCTTCACAAGCATCTTACTTCTCCTGTCTTCTCTGCTGCTGCTTGATCTTTTCTGCACAGCTACAACTGCTTTTCTGCACCTGCAGCACAACAGTCCCATCACAAAATCAAAAAAACTGCCCCAGAGGGGATGGGACTCTCTAGTCCAACCCTTCATCAACGCAGAGCTATCTTTGACAGTGGATTGCATTGCTGCAGAAAATGGGAGAATGTTTCCCCCCAATATATTAAACTAAAATATATTTTGCTGCATTTGGTGCCTGTTTTCTTCTGCTTTTTGCCAAGCACCTCCAGGAGGGATCTGTCTCCATCTTCCTTCCTACCCACTAATTTGGTAGCAGTAGGTTCTGCTGCTCTCTCTGTTCTCTGGGCTGAGCAAACCCAGCCCCAGGCTCCTCTCATGCACACTGTGCCATCTTCAAGACCAATAGAGAGGTGGGAAAAGGGCTTCTAACATATCCCTGCCTTCCACTGCACGACAGGGAGAGAACCCAGCCTGCCTGCAGAGGCAGAGAGCTGAGATGCACATGGCTTTGCACTGAACTCAAGGTTCAAGATCTGGTTCCTCTGGGCACATGCTATCCCAGGTCTGTGCATCTTTCTGCTTTGTATCTCTCACCCTCCTGGTATGCCTCAGACCTGATTCTGGCACTTGCTGTAAAAAAGGGGGCTTGTGCTGGGGATGGCAGGTACCTCTGGACGTGGAATCACCACAGTGGGATTTTCTTGCAGAAGGAAGAGAAGCCCCCTGTGGTGTCGGTATCCACTGTGGACTATGGTGTGCTGGAGTTTCAGAGGGATCAGTGCACACACGTGCTCCCTGAGACCCAGCCTGTTGACCAGACGGAATATGCCACCATCATTTTCCCAGAGGAGAAACCCGTCACACCGGAGCGGGGGAAGAAAAGCCAGGACAAGAGAACTCGACAGCTGCACTCACAGCCCTGCTGAGGATCAGGGTCCCTCCTCACCACAGTGTGGGCATGAACAGACTGCCCCGGTCCCTTGCTCCCACTGCAGTTTGCAGTTGGGAAAAATCCAGCATATCAGGACTGAAGCAACAGAGATGCTGCTGCTGGAGTTGATATCCGACAGTCCTGGCCACGGTGTTATTGTGGCTGTGGGATGGGTACCACAGGATGAGGAAGGTCCCTGCTGGGCTCCATGTGCTGCCTCTTCACTCAAGGCAGGGAGAATGGGCTGGGACAAAGCAGTGACACCAACAGGTCTGTCCCAAAGGCAATGTATGTCATGCCTCAGTTTTCTACCTCCACCCAGGGCTCTGTGGAGTGGCCCTGCTGCTTCCCTTCCCCAGGTCTGACCTAACTAGCAAAGCACGACTACTGGAGGTAAAGCTGGAGGCCAGAGCTGGAGTGGATCCTGTGAGATGCTGCTCATGGAAACCCAGGACTGAGAGCTTCTCCTTGCTCAGAACAGAGGCTGCCTTGTGTTCTGCTATTTAAAGAAACCCCTGGGAAGTGGGCAGCTGGTTTTCCTCCTTTCTCCTGGCACTTTCCTTGTCTCCAGGAGTCCCTGCGACCACAGGTTGGAGTTGGATCTGGCCAGGGGGGTGAATAAAGGATTTTGCATGAGGGGAGTTTGTTCACTTGTGATGGCAAGTGCGTGGGCAGGCAAATAACGGCTCTTGCACTGCAGGCGAGAGCTGGGAGGTGGCAGCATCTGTTGTGGTTCCTGGGTCTCTCCGTGAGATATGCAAGCTGCTCTTCCACAAAGCTGCTCTTAATAATTTAAGAGGCTGATGCTCCTTTTCCTCCTGCCCCTGTCTGAGATGGTCACCCAGGCACAGCTGCAAAACCAGGACCGCCCCTTACCATGCTTGTCTTGGGACATTCACCCAGCCCTTGGGGATATGCATGCTTGCTGTGCGTGGGTCTGGCTGCCATCAGCCAGGGCAAAGCTCACAGCAAGGTGCTCAGTGCAGCTTTCTGGCTTCAAACTTCCACTTTCCCTCTTAAAAGAGGTGCCAGGGCTGTGCTGCCTGCCAGAAACCAGAACAGAAAGAAATGACAGCTGCTCAAGAGGGGAGAAACCCCAGTAAGGAGTGGCTTTGAAGGCAGCAGAGACCTACCAGGAGACTGTAAAAACCAGTGAAAACAGAGAAGTCACTTGCATGTCACACTTCAGCAGCACCGTCAGCATATTTCTTCTTCACTTACTTCCAGTAAGCCTCGTGGGACCCAGCCTGGGCACTGCAGGAAGGGGTGAGGCAACCCAGGCATCACAACTTGTCCTCTGTGGGGACTGGAAAGTCCACGAGAAACTTCCAGAGGGGACCAGATGGGATAAACATCCATTTGGAACGCCTTTCATCTTTCCTCAGGGTGGGACAGTGGATATGGTGGCTTCCCTTTGTTCCTGGTGCTGCTGAGGGGTCCCAGTAGCCTCCATGGGCAGCGTTGTAACTCCAAAAACATTCACTCAGGCCAGTGCATGGTTCAGCCCATCGGGCCTCTTTGCCAGTAGCAGCCCTGCTCCTTTGCCCCAGCAGCTCTGTCAGAGATCTGCTGTGGCCGGCAGGGCCCGGAAAACCAAGGTAGGAGGCAGCCACAGTGGGCGAGAAGCGGGAGCTCAGTCAGCAGTTTTGTTTTTGGCTTTCCTGTCAGACACAACACCGGTGAGAGGGTGGGCCAGTGGGCCCTGCTTCATATTTTCCGATCTGCCTCTCAGGCAGCAGAGGTGCCAGATCTTGAGCCCTTCCTGCACCCCCTGGCTGCAGCTATGACTCCTCCAGGAGCAGTTGGGGCTGAGTCCCTTCCTCTCTTGGTAGATTGTGGTCTGCAGCTGACCAGAGACTCCCAAGCTCTCTGGTGGAGTTGGAGGTGTAGCAAACACATCTCCCTCTGACGTCTGGGGTGGGAGAATATCCAGCCTGTGTCAGTGCCTGTTGTGCCCCTCCAATCCCCATCAGCCTTGCTGCAATCCTACCCCATTCAGGGAGCAAGGCTGGGCTCTGGGGATATTTGGAGTGAGTGGTGCAGATGTTCCAGGCTGCCAGACACCATCTTCCATCCCTGTTTGGAGCACAAGGTACTCAACATTGGCAGAGACATGAGCTATGCTCCTGTGCACTGGGCACAGCACTGGCTGTGGTAGCCAGAGCAGGAACACAGCTGGGATGAGCTCCAGGTAGGATGCAGGTTTCAAGCCCCCAGCTGGGCATCTCTAAACCAAAGCAGTGCCTTAAAATGCATGTCAGGCCCCACACCCCAACATCCTGCTTGGGAATGGGGAGTTGAGCGTGTTTGTGTGCAGGAGCTGTTCTTTTGTCTTTCTTTGCAAGCCAGGAGAGCAGACAGGTACAGTTTTAACTTTCCCTCCAGCCTGGTGATGGTAGTTTGGTCTTCCCAGAATTACTGTGCAGGATCTGGAAGAAGCTGTTTTACCTCCTGTCCTGAGAAGTCCTCAGTTCTGGCTTTCCCAACTACACTATCCTACATCCCTCCTTCCACTGCCCCTCCCTCCCTATCACAACCCTCTTGCTTTTGCCCACCACTGCACCCATATCAATTGGCTGCCTGCCATTTGCACTAACTGGCAGGTTTATGCCCCTTTTCTCCACTCCAAGTTAAGGAAAGACTCAAGTAAATTCATTTCCACCTAGGATGCAAAGGTTTGTGTTAGGTTTTTCGAGGGGGCTGAGTTGACAGCTTCAAGTCCTTTGGCTTTCCCTACCCACATCAAGGGGAGACTGGGCTGTGATGGGCCTGGTGTGGTTTTGGCGCACATACTTTCTTCCACAGCTGCTTTGTTGGCTCTGAAGGGCTGTGGGTGGCAGGGTTTCAGTGGTCGTTGGTTTAGGCTGTGGAGGGGAGGTTTGCTGAAGGGTGGTTAGGCAGACCAGACCATCTGGCTCTGGATTTTGACCTTGTTCCCTGCAGCATCACAGCCACTGGGACTAAGCCCTGCACCTTAAAATCACTGGCCACTAACAGAGTAAGAACAGATCTCCAGACTGGTTTTCCATCCCATTCTGGGTAAATGGTGGCTTATATCAGTGCAAGAGGGAAAAGAACAAGGCCCTGAAGAATTAAATAGCACCTGGACCTGACTCTGTGTTCTCAGATGTGTCATCACTGGGAATAACTCCTGAAATGCCAGAGGAGATAGGGTGTAGGTTTGTATCTGCCCACCTCATTCCCCTTGGCATAGTGATGTGAGCGATGGAGAATGCTCTCAGCAACTTCCTTCCCGTTGCACAAAGCTCATAAGTGCACAGCAGCCAAACTGGGGTGTTGTGTGTGTGTGTGTGTCCAAGTTTTTCCATGCTGTATCCCCCCAGAGCAAGCATCCTCAGCCTGTCCATGCACACTCATGTGCAAGCACACGTGAATGCTCATGAACACAGATGTGGAAGCAACTCCCCATGCAAATTTGTGTGCACACGCCCAGATTTGCACAGTTACTGTTACCAAATACACTCACCCCACTGCAGACATGTATCCCCCCAGCCTCTCCATCCATGTGCCAGGGTTTCTCCCGTACTGGGACCTGGGTGCAGCCAAGGGGGTGGCTGTGGGTGCTTAAGCTGTTGCATTTCCTGCACACTTTGATCTGGCAGTCAGAGCAACCGCTTCTGACCGCGGACACCCAGCACTCCCCTGAGAAGTGGCTGTCACCAACGTCAGTGCCAAAACGCTTTGTCAGCTCCCTGAGACCACTTACCAGCTGTGACCTCTTGGAGAGCCTCATCCCTGGTCCCACCCTGGGGTCTTGATGATGGAGAATGGCCAGACCTCTCTGTGAAACGTGAGACTGATCCCTGTCAGCATCTGCAGGAAGTTTGGATGTGTGACTTCATGTGCCTAAGCTATACCAAAGCAAACAAAACCTTCCACGTGAGGCTTGGGAGCCAGCCTGGCTCCTTATACACCCTAGGCTTGATTAAAGGTGGTTGGGAACAACATGTGAACAAGCACCCCTTAAAAAAACCTGTTTCACTTAAAGAAAGCTGAACTTATAAAACACGTATTGAGAAAACTGGGCAGGCAGATGAAGATGGAGAGGCACTTGCAGCAGTGTCTTTGAGGAGAGCTGTGCCATGGAGCAGCAAAGTGCTGTTCCTAAAAAACAGGGCATTGCAGATGCAGGGGTGGGGGGAAGGGGTGGTCAGGACATAGAACAGTAAGGTCATTTTCAGGTGAGCACTGTCTTGATCACTGGGAGGTCTTGGAGATGTGTTTTTGTTTGAAAGAGGTTAGGCTGGAGGTGATGCAGCAGGTATGTGGGTTATTTGGCCCCCGGGTTAATGAGATGGTCTGTGGGTGGCACTGGTCTGTGTGGCACTGTGGTGTGGAAGCATTGCCATGGCCTTGACTTGCTGGGAAAGCAGATGTCAGTCCTGGAAGTGACAGGCTGGGCTAAGCTAGTGGGTGGTGTCACTGATCATGGGAGGGATGGGCTGCTGGGCAGGCTGCCTGGGTCCCTAACTGTGGCTTGCACAGCCCTGGTGTGTCCTGAAGGGTCCAGGCCACAGCATCTCTGTCCTGTCCCACCAAAGGCCTTGCCCTGCCTTTCACCAACCTGCTGTAGCCTTGTAGAATATCTGCATTTCCTCCTGCCGCCCTCGCTTTGCTTTCTCTAGTTTTGCTTTGAGTCGTCTCCAGAGTTTCTTCTCTCTCTTCTTCCCTTTGCTGGGATGTGATACTCGAGGAAGGTGGTGGCAGGCCAAATCCTGACACATGGGGGCTCAGAGGGACAGGCAGGAGTCCTGTGCCTGCCCACTCCACTGCCCCAAGACCAAACCTACTGTCCATGGAACTGGGGCAGAGCCTTGTCGGAGGGTGCTGAGCTCTCTCCTTACGACCATCACAAGGCTCACCTGAAAGTCAGGTATCCCAAATCCATGTGGACTGATACCTGTCCACATCTTCACATCCTGCTCCGTTAAATCTCTCCCCATCCTCAGCATCCCTTTCATCCCAGAAGTCCTAGGTGATGAGGCAATCACCTCTCTAAAATTTGGCTTGGGCATACCCCCATTTCCAGAGGACCTGATACTCCTTGCCTAAAATTCACTCTGGGATAAGTGGACCCTTCTTCTCCAAGGGTTTGCATGTGGAGGCAATCCAACCTGGAAGGGAACCTGCAGCTATTGCTTGTCCCTAGAGGTGGTGGGTTTCACCACAACAGGGTGACAACCACTCGACATCAGCAGTGGCAAGGTCAGAGGGGGATCGAGGCACAGAGAGCTGGCATGGAGCTGTGTCCCAGAAGGATATGGATGCCCAATTACCCATCTGCTTCAAGGAGAGGAAAAAAGAGGATCCGTGAAACTCTAGATGAGTCAGCCTACCTTGGTACCCAGAAAAACTCTGGAACAAATTAGTAAGACCACCAAGCGGTAACACTGACAGGGCAATGCTGTGGCTGAGATAACGCATTTAGCAGGAACATGTGTCAAACCAACCTTGTCTTCTCTTCATTAGGGCGACAGGCTGGCTACCGCAGGGAAAGCAGGAGTGGTGCTATCTTTGTGCTGCCTTATGTGACATTCTCATAAGCAAATTAGGGAAATGGGAAATTCTGCCACTGTGGGTGAATGGCTTCCCAAGGAGCTATATCCCATGAGCAGTTATCAATAGCTCACGAGAGCAGATACATCAAACTAGTTTTCTGTGGAAGCATGGCTCACATGAAGGCAAGATGCTCTTGAGGGAGGGTGTAGGGCCTATTTGAGGGGAGGGTTGGAAAACAAATTCACCCTGATGATCTGGAGAAAATGTCCTGAAAGAATGACTGATGAAAAAGAATCGGGTGTGTTCAGTGCACGAAAAGATGATGGAAGTCTTCAGAGTGAGAAAAAGCCCCAGCACAGAGCAAGTAGTTTAAGGTTCTGCCCTGTTGCTCAGATGTCAGTCCATCTGTCCTGAAAACCTTGCCATGCCCATGAACTCATCATCTCCACTGCTGAGGGGATGTCCCTCTCTGCAGTCCTGCCTGGGGACCGGGATTGAATGTCCCTTTCTGCCCCTCCTAGGGACTGCTGGCAAGATGGAGCCACCTGTGTACGGAGTGACCCATCCCAAAAGAAGGAATGGATGTCCCAGCAAGGATGGGGTGCACATGGACCAACAAGAGTCCTCGTGGGCCTGGGCTGGAGGCCTGTGGGACAGGGAGGCTGACACACACTGAGAGACGAAGAGGAGGAGAAAGAGCTTTGGGAAACCTTCCAGCTTCCGCAGGGGCTGCTCACCCAGGGGTGGGAGCTGAAATAAAAAATAATTTCAGGCTGTGTGAAAGCAGCGGGGAAATTACCACACAGGCTGCACCTTGTGTGCTTCCTTCACACATTCCATGGAGGATGCATGACCAGCATGCTGGGATGGAGAGAACTGTCAGGGTCTGTCTCCAGCAAGGGTTGCCAGCCTAGTGGGGTCATTCTGTGTCCAGGACAGGGCTCATCCCTGCTCTCTGCTGAGGCTGGGCTGCTCCCTGTGGCAGCAGCTTTGGTTTCCAAGCAGGTGCTGGTAAGCAGCAAGGTGCTTGGGCAGAGCTGGGAGGTGTGTGTGAAATAGAACAGGACGTCAAAGCAGTTTCGTCTCTGAGGGTGGTTCTGGGAAAGTCCCTTTAGTAAAAGCAAGTCAAAAGCTTTAATAGAGGGACCAGCACCCAGCTCTGTCTCAGAGATGACTGTGAGGGCTCGGCACATCGTGAGTTGTGATTTGAGTTGTGTTGCCATGACGTATCAGGGGACTGGTTTCCATCACAGCTTAGTTTTGGAGACAGGGACCCATCCCTGTGTGAGGAGTGTCACTGGATTCCCACTGAACACTGTGTCTGAGGGGCAGCATTTTGGTCCCTGGAGTGGGAAATATGGGGAACGGTGCCTGTCCCATTAGGAGCATCCCTCTGCCCTGTGGCAGCAGTCTTGGGGAGGAAGAGCCGTGCTGAAAGAACAGACCCTGCAGATGAAGTGATCAGTGTGTTTGGGGTTGAACACAGGCAGCTCTGCCTGCGTTTTTCTTGCATTCAAACCCCCACAGAGTAAATCTTGGACAATAACACATAGGGGTCCAAGGGGGCAGGAAGATGCTGCAGGGTGGGGGCCCCATCCTGGTACCCTGCTGCTGCTGGGTCCCTATGTCATAGTGGGCCATGATACCCACTGTAGGCCAGCCTTGATGTTGCTTAGCTCCCACTTTCTGCACTACAAGATTTGCAGCCCTGGAGACTCCTCTGTGGCAGGATGCATGAAGGAGTCTTCTATAGTGAACCTATACAAATGGGGTCCACTGGGAAAGGAGTGAGAGGAGGCCAAGGAGATCTGCTACTTCCTCTCTTCCTCCCATGCACCAGCCCTGAGCCAGGGATGTTCTCTGGTCCCCACCTGTGAGCATTGAAAAGGCTGGTGGGATGACTCTTCCTTTTCTGTCCTGCTTGTAGTTCGCTGCCCCAGCGCAAGCATGACCTCATGTACCCATAGTGGGGCTCTTGGGAAGGGGGTGACTCAGGTCTCATCCACAGGTTAGGGCTTTCTACCTCTTCATAAGGATCATGAAGACCTTGGCTCCTCTGCTTCCAAGAATGCTCTTTCCTTTCTCCTAGTCCTGCTACAGATGATAGCATCAAGGGGTAACTAAGAGTGGAAGGATCTCAAAACAGGAAAGAACCTCAAAGCTGAAGATGTGGTCTGCCCTGGGACCTTGTTATGTCCCTCTGCTCTCATAGGACCGGCAGCACACACCGTGAAGGTGTTGGAGGGCTCTTAGTACAAACGACTTTTCCTTCCAGCAGCAAAGATCAGAGGCTCCCTGCCAACCTGTGGTTGTTGGGACTTTTTCTGCTTGAGTTGGCTAGAAGTTGATAAAAATAGCCCATGGTTAGTGGCAGCTATTGAGAGAGATAAGGTTACCTGGAGCGTTATCAGCTGTTGAGTCCTGTGTGGGTTTCACTTCCATTATTCCTAAGCTAGGCACAATCTCTGTCAGTTCACGCCACTGCCACAACAGTAATGGGCACGGGCAGCCTGGCAGGGGGTTTTGTTTCCAACCTCTCTGCCTATGGACAGAGCAGCATCGTGACAGCATGGCTCTGCAGGGTCAGGGGTTCACGTGTGGATCTTGATGAAACCCACCTGTCCTTGCTTTGGGGGACGTTTTACCTGGCCAGGACCTGGTGCAGTGTCAGCAGGGACTGTTGACCCAGAGATCAGGAGGGGGCGGTGCTGCTCTCATGGGAGCAAAGGTTCCCCTCTTCAAGCACAAAGGCATTGTACGAAGAGGAAAAGCTTGGGGAAAACACAGTCGCACGTGTGTATTAGCCCTTAGAAGCCACAAGCTTGACCTGCAAGCATGGTCACTGCCTCTTCCACAGCTCCAGGTGGAACTAGGATGAGCTGGCAGGACATTTTCAAAGAGAAGCTTGCAGAAATGTATGTAACAGAGCAGTGGACACTTCAGGAGGATGACACCCTGCAGGCGCAGGCCCTCAGTCCTGGCTGGAAGGAGTTTGTGCAGCGCCGTGCTCTTGGCAGGTAGGGGACTGCTGACTTGGTCCCCGTCGGAGCGGGAAAAAGGTTGATGTGCTGCCATGTGGATCTTTTCCTTTTTCAAAGTTTGCTTGTAGGAAACAGGTTTTGACACAAAAGGGGCAGTTTGGAGGTGGGCGAGGCTGGAAGGGGTTTTTCCGTTTTTGTTCAAAGCTTAGTGGGCTATTGCCAAACAGGAAAGCATGATAATTGGAGGGGAGAAGAGTGCAGTAGCCTTCACAGGGCCAAAGGGCAGCTGGTATTTGGCCAGAAATTTCTCCATGTTGGTGTCAAGATGCAAGAGCTCCTCCAGTAAGCAGGGATAGTTACACCACACTAGAGCCAAATCTTCTGGGTTTGGACCCAGAGGATGAGGACAGTGAGACCCACTGTCTGCCAAGATGTGGGGTGATGCCACAGCAGCCCCAGCACCTGCACCAGGCAATGAGATTTCAGAGCAGAGAGAGGCTGTGGCTCTGCATTGTTGATGAGAAGCCCCATCCCAAACATTTCCACCCTCAGACATCCTGCTCAGGTGGCAGCAAATGGAGACCTTTGTTGCCAGTCCCAATTGTGCAAGATGAAGAGCTGTGGGTTGCACACTGTTAGATTCCTCAAGATCCTCCCCTGTGCAGCAGCCTCCACCCACACCTTCCTTCTATTTTGCTTTTTTTTTTTTTTTTATCTTATCCAGTCTTGGGCTTGATGTTGGCTTTCTGCTGAGCTGTGATGAGCTGGCATGGGTGAGGGGCTGGGATTCCAAATAAGGGCCTGATGTTTCCCACCCCAAGGACCCCTGCTCTTGGCAGTGGAGGAAGGATCCCAGCAGACAGCCTGGCTGCTAAGATCATTAATGCTGGGGCCAGGCCTCAGCTCACATCTGTGGTGAACTCCCCAGCTTAGCATCATTTTGTTAGGGGAAGGACAGTTCAATGTAAAGCTTGCAGGAGCCATGGCTTCCCTGGTCCCTACTGGCTGAGTGGGAAGCTTCTAGCTCAGTATGGGGAGCCTGGGATGAGTTGGTCTCATCTGTGCTCTGACAGGTTTCAGTGTTCCCAGTGCTGTCATAAGTGGACTTCGGCCAAAGTGCTCATCCTGTTCCACATGTGCTGGTGCCCAGGCTGGGGCACCGTATGGATGCGAGTCTTTCGCCAGGAATGCAGGCGCTGCCGCAACCCCCAGCTGGAGTATCCTGAGTTCAGCCTGGAGACTATGGAGAGGATTCTGCACAATCTGGTGGTGAAGATCCTCCAGTATTTCTACAAGAAGCTTGTCCGGTCCTCTGACCTTCTGGAAGTTGTGGTGGATACACCAGTGAAGGGGCCACACGACAGTGCCCACTGCGAGGCCTGCAGGCTCGGCATTTGCAACAAGTCATGGCAGGCCCCGGCATCGGATGCCCGGAAAGACTTGACAGATGTGTGTCAATACGCAGCATGTGATGACAGGAAGAGCTTGTTAGATGCATATAGGTCCCTGAAATGCCAGCGCTCAGGGCCCCACAGAGCCTCAACCCATCGCCCCTCACCCTGCAATAGCAACTTCCTCTGGAAACGCTACTGCTGCATTGGCAGCTCTTTGCTCTTTGTTTTGGCAATGATCATCTTCTTCGTGGTTTATTTCACCAGGATGTAGTGGGACCTGGAGGTTGCAAAGAGGAGCTGAGGTGATTGCCCAGGGAGCTGATGGAGTGCCTGGAAAATTGGGTGCCCAAGGTCAGCCCTCACTTATGGCTCAGCTAGGCTTTCCTGGTTTCTGGGGGCATGGGAACACATAAGAATGCCTCAGCCAGGCACCTTGACCCAAAGCCTCAGGGAAGGTGGTGGGTGTGATGCTTTCTTATGGAATATATTCTGTATGAAGATGACTCTCAACTACTCTGTGCAAAGGATGAGGTTTATTACTTGCAAGAATAAAACAAGCAGCCTAAAGATGCATTTGTGCTTTTTAATTTCTCTAAAGGCTTTTCTAAGTGTGTGTGAGTAGCTTGGAGAGAAGGTGGTGCTGCTTTTATTCACTGTCTGAGCTCAGCTTCCAGGGAGGCACATCCTTAGGCTCCCCTGCCTTTGGCCCTGATGTTTGCTTTTTCTGCTGGTGTAAGATTTCCCAGTATTTTCACATATGCAACCTGAAAACTATTGGTTAAAAACAAATGTACATAACAAGAAAACCCTGTGTGATCCATGGGAAGTGTGGATTTGGTTTCTTGAGTGTTCCATCCTGCTTGCCCCACCAACTTCCCCCCTTCCCCAACCCCTTGTCTCCTCCGCAGCCTCAGCAGCCCTGGCCATAGAGCCACCAGATGGAGCTGCAGGTCTCCGGCACTGCACTGGGAAGAACTGGGACCAGTGAGCCGACAGCACTGGGACGGGAGAGCATTCCCTAGGTGGGGGATGCCCTCCCTCCTATTTCTGTGATCAGTTGTTTCCCTGTAGCATGGTTCCCCTAAAGTCTGTCCTACGTGGGAATGGAACTGGTCTGTGGATGAGTGGCTCTGCTGGGGAGGAAGAGGAGGCTGATCTCGAAGCCTGGACCAACTCCCCTCCTGTGATGGGAGCTGTCCGCCCTCTCCCCGCCGGCGTTATGTCATGAAGCAGAGACATGGCCAAGTTTCTTTCTGCCATTGCCAATAGCCCTCTTCTTTCCATGCTGAGGTTTTCCCAGCCCCAGTCATCAAGTCTGGCTGTCTGCAGCCTCCCCAACCACACAACCGCTGAGGGGCTACTCCCTTGCCTGTGCCTGAGAAGCCAACTCTCGTGGAGACTACATCCCTATGGGGGTCCTTATTTTCTTGCTTGAGTGTCTCTGCTCTTTCACAAGGGCAGACTCATCCCTTACTCCTCTGCAAGTCTTCTGCACACCCCCTGCGCTCCCCATCCACAGCCTCATGTAAATATGCTGCTTTTGTCTTGATGCACTCCTTGCCTCTGCCTACTTGCCTGCCTGTCTCCTCATGCTGTTTGAGCATGCCCTCTCCATCATGCAGCCCCTTCACCCCTCCCCAAAACTCAGAGCCACCTGAGCATGTGTAGGTTTCTTAGCCATGGTCTCATTTTTGGGGTCCTTTTCAGGAAACCCCTTTCCAACATGCAGCTGTGCCCATCTCCCACTTGTTTCTTAGCAAACTGTCCTCAAACTGTTTCTTTCTGTGGCTCTTGGCACTTTTGGAGTACAGAGCAAGTCCTCCCAGCTCGGTGCAGCCCCAAGGTTGGTGAGCAGCGGCCAGGCCCCCAGCTAGCATGGGAACAGTGGAAGGTGGCTGAGGGAAGAAGGATGCTCTCTCTCTGTAGGTCCTGGGTGTCCCCCCCCAGTCTGTTTAAGACTGGGCTCTGCTGTAGCCAACTCTCAGCTCACGCCTGGTGCTCACATGCAGCCAGGGGCAGTAAAACCTCTTCAGGGATGTTTTTCTGGCTTTTCACCACAGCCAGACTGATAAATTGCTGTCTCCGCGCCTGTCTCCCTGGAGAGAAGCTCTCACCACTCTGGCAGGTTATGAGGTGCCAGCAAAAGCAAAGCCTATTGTTGCCCCCACTTTTCTCCTTGGCTGCCTCTTGCCAGCCCACCCTGTAACCACTGAAGTGCCCGTGGGGTACGAGGGGTTGGCACTTGGCAGCAGCTTGGTGAGCAGGGGACGAGGGCTGGGTTGTGTTGGGGATTTCCCGGCAGAGCTATCAACAAGAGGTGGAGGAGAGTTTGTATTTATGAGTTATCTGTTGTAGTGCAGCAATATTTCTTAATGTGCCCCAGAGCTGTCTGAGCTCAGATCCTACAGATGATGGTTTAATGCTCAGAGGACCATGCTTTGATTTTGCTTTTTCTCTCTCCTCTCCTTTACCCTCAATGTCTCTGGTCATGTCAGCAGATCCAAGAGTGAGCCAGACCCATTGCCCTCCTCCCTGCCATCAATGCAGAGGAACCTGGCACTGTTTTTCAATTCTGTGCCATAGAAAAATAGGGATCAATAACTCAGCTCTCAGACTTGGATCCAGGCACATGATAGGAAACAGTGCCTGTGATTTTAAGCTCTCTCCAAAGGCGAGATTTTCACAGCCTGTGATACAGCCTGACAGAGCTTTGTACCTGCCTCAGCTCACATCTGAGCTTGCTGCAGAGCCTCTGCTGTGAAGACACGCTCTCTCAGTCCAACAGCTACTGGGATGGGCTGATTTTTCACTCCTTTTAAAGCAAAAATCATATACCTGTTATTTTTTCCTCATGGCAATTGAACTCAGATTTAATTGCTATTCTCAGCATACAGGTTGCTGCCCTCTCCTCCTGTCATTGCCCCTTCAGTGTTTTGCTCAGGCTAAAAGTAATTGAAGGACAGAATCTCATCTGTCACCCTTTTTTGTGATTTGTATTCAGGGCTACTCAGGGACTGTCTCAGCCCATGAAGCTGTGCCAGGCCATGGCTGAACAGCCATCGGAGTGAGGGATGGTGTGAGAATCCACCTGGGAGAGGAGGTGTGCATGGCAGAGACTAGCAACCAGCCTTGACCATGTTCCTCTTGGAATAAAAGTCTCAGGGCACAAACTCAGTACATATAAAAGTTTTATTTAGTTCTCAGGAGGAAGACTGCAGAGAACTATCCTTACATGACATTAGATATTTTACAGAATGTAGTATCAAAAAAAGAAATATATATATATATACTAGAAAATACCTTGCAGTTACATGACATAGCCAAGAGTACAGTTCATAGCATGTCTGCAAGACTGACCTTCCTTAGGCCTTCTGCTCTTCTAAATGCTCTACAAATGGCTTTTTGGATAATAACAAAATGTCAGAGTGGTTCATCCATTGTTGGCTTCTTCCTTTCATGGCAAAAGCAAGGAGGAGGAGGTGCAGAGGCCAAAAGGAGGCTACAGGCACATGGAGGGAGCAGCAGGCAATGTTTGCATGTTGCTTAGAGCTCTAGGAGGGCTTTGCTGGCAAATGAAGGAGAAAGTATCCCCACTGAAGGAAGGTAAGCTCACCTGACCTTGTTCCTTGGCAGGGCTTATTTGTCTGTGTGGGCCTTGGAAGGAAGCTGGTGAGATATGAATACTTCTGGTGCGTTAGGTGAGTTTGGGTCAGTCTAAAATGACTTGGACACCTGGAATAGCCCACAGGAGCCATGAACGAATGCTGAACACCATCGGTAACCTGTAAATCAGCTAAATCAATGGCCTTAAAAGAATTTAAAACGGACTAGGTTCTTGCAAGAATGAATAAACTGCCATGCAGGACTTACCAGGCCCCTGAGAAAGAGGTGAAAGCCCAAGGAAGCGTGTTCTATCTGAAATGATTCTGCTGAAAAGAAGTACTGCTTAGGTACAGCCAAAGTGATGCTGTCTCATATGTTGAAAAAATTTCCTTGGGAGGCCTGCTGTGGCTGGAAACCACAGAGCTAGTCTGGGGATGTGACTGGAGAAGGTTTGAAGTGATAGAGGGTTGGAGAAGTTTTGGTGGCTGGAGGTGAGTGTGACGCTGAGTCCAAACCTCTCTCCCTGTCCCTGTGTCCTCTGTGGGTCACTCATCCCACGTGGTGAGACACAGGTAGACCATTTGGGCTGGTGCTGGCTGAAGTTTAGGTTTGAAGTTTAGGGCTAACTGGATTCATCTGTACATCCTTGGGGCCAGGTGGGCATCACCTGAGATACCACCAGGCAGGGATGTTTGTTTGCAAACAAAAATAATAGCAACCCCCCACGACTCTCTCACTACTCCTTGCACAGAAAGTGTGGGGAACCTGTGAGGTTCAGGCCTGCCCAGATGTGTTTTCCTGCGCTGTCCATAGGCTCTACAGTTGCATCTTCTGATGGGAAGATTTGACCAGAGAGTCCCAGAGGTGGGGGCAATTCCCTGTGCATCGCACAAAGCTTTGGTGCCAAGGAAATGCTGCCTCAATTTCTGTGCCTTTTTCCTGGCTTGGAGGGAGGCTCCCTGGAGTGTGGGTGAGGTTTGCAAATGGGCAGCACAAGCTGAGGACACCAGCTGAGATCTTGCCTTTCGCTCCCTTCCCCCAGCTCCCTAGCAAGCATTTCCTAAGAATGCAAGTGAAGGGATGTGGGACCAAGTGAAAAAAATGACCTGGAGGGCTGGCAAAGGCTTGGCATGAGTGGAGTATCGTGGCTGTTGCTTGCGAAAGACCAGAGTCTGGAGCATATTAAACAATAACAAGAAAGGGAGCCGCGGTGGCAGCAGGCTGCTTAGTCACTCATCTCTCTGGCTCAGGGTCCAGAAATGTCCATCTTTCTGAGGAGCCTGTTTTCTTCTCCACCCAGTTCACGTAGTTAGAGACCTTGGTGTACACACCGTACACTTGCTTGCTGCCGCACTCCTCTGGGCCACCCCATGAGACCAGCCCTTGGGCCACCCACCTCCGGGTTCCTGGGTCCTGGATGACAAAGGCTCCCCCGCTGTCTCCCAAACAAGTGTCCTTCCCACCTTCGTAGTAGCCCGCGCAGAACATGTTCTCAGTCACGCTGTAGTTCCCTGACCGCGACTCGTAGCTGGTCTTGCACTCGGCATGCAGCACCACCGGCAGCTTGACGTACTGCAGGATGTCAGACAGGGTCCTCATGCCCGAGCTAATGATCTCATCCACTGTGATGTTGGGGTTGGAGATACCCCAGCCAGCCACCAGCCCCAG